TGTACTACGGAAAAAATATTTGTAGAAATATTTTCAATCTTTCCTCACTTATTTAGCCTGATTGTATCTGTTGAGCTACACTGCGGATATCTCCGAATTTTATATTTAACTCAATACCCAGTACTTTATGGAGTACATCTTCAGCAATCTTTTTTAAAAATTAGTTTCTTCATTGGATTTAACATAAAAGTGTTCCAAAATGTTGATCGCTATTTTTCCGATATTGCACTTAGCAATAGGTTTTTCGTGATGCTCATAGGATAGTATTGTCAAAGGATTGTTCAATGAAAATTGTAGATTCTTCAATGATGACTTTTATATCATATAGAAATGAAATATCTATAGATCATGACCCACTTTCTACGCTTAAATCATGAATGAATTCAAGTGCTTCCCAACTACTGTAGTATAGATCAACTTTGGTATAGAGAACTCGTGATTTGATAATGTTGATTAAATGATGGAAAATGGTAAAGCAAATCATGATATTAGCTCCATTTATGGCTAAGACTGATAGTTGATGACAAAATCAAGTTGAAAGCAAATCGAATATGAAAGATATTAATGAGCTAATTTTTTTACCGAGACATAATACATTGATTGACCAAAGTAGGGATAGAATCTCGATGTGAAGATTAAAACCAGAGAGATACAAATCGTGCGTTTACAAATAATCAATTAACAGAAATTTTATCGACTAACCTGGAAAAGTCGTAAGCTCTTGACGGATATTAATGGAAGTAGACCAAATGATCGATTTAATTGCAGTGAATATTAATTTATAGTCAATGAAGTATTTTAAAAATTCGAGTTGTATAATTTATTTATTCATCAATTAAGAGAACAGATGCTGCTCGACTGCCACGAATGCTATAATCAACAAGTAGATGTTGTTTTTATAAATTTAATTCTCTATTGATGGTCGATAATGTAATTCAAGCATGCTATCTTGATCAGTGTTGACGTAGAACTAGCTAGATGTGAATTCATTATTATTCAAGCTAATGTCAACACTGATCCATTTGATTAGAGCTATGCTAATTTATGTCAATGATGATTTTTTTGAGACTTTATAGTGATGATAGACTCTAGATTCATGTATTCATCCTTTATTGACATAGGGCTCGAAATGAATTATTTCATTAACTCTATTGCATGATCGCTAGTTATTTTAACAAAGTTTATTTTATAATTACAACTAGATTAGCATGATCATTTCTATCGCGGTCAATAATTCAAAAACAATTTATATGTAAAGTACTGATGACGATGATGATGATTCAGTCCGAAAATAAACTTGAACACAATGAATAATGCTTTAATTCTTACTTACGACAATATTGCCGTTATTTATAGATTACTATAAGTGCAGTTAATTGATTTTTTAGATTCTTTCTTTACGTCGTAGCCGTAATATACATATATTTAAGGAAAGGATTCAGTCTTGATTGCTAACTATGCGATTTCATATTATTCAACATCTTACTACATTAGCTCCGATCATTTATCTTGTCTCCAAATAGAAGGAAAACTCTTTCATCAAACTTTAATCAAAATCAAACCTTGCCGTTCTTACTCTAGCTCTATAAGATTTTAATATTGATTGGTATAATCTCATTTCTCAGTTGTTTCTTTACGTCAATAACACTTAGGAATTTGCTTCATTCTTTCAAAGAAAGCCCACATCTTTTCGATAGGATAGACTAATTTAGTATCACAATTTTATTTTATAAATAGACTACTTTGACATTGACCTAATGAATTATTGTTTTTTAAAATCCAATTCCATATTCAACACTTGACTCTAGTAGCTAATCCAGACAAGAGATAGTATCAATTATTTTGCAATACTTTCAAATCGTTGCCATTAATAGGGCAAGATTTATCCCATTGGCTTGCAATATTAATACCTAGTTGCTCGTCAGTGGAATGGCAGTGCGATCCTGTCTAATTTAGTAGTTGTCTAATTGATAAATTGTTATGGCTTATTGGGATAGATTAGTACAATGAACCAGTCTCAATGAAACTATTACACTAGCTTAAATAGAATTAGTTATGCAATAAATTTAAAGTGACGCCATACGAACAAGAATATCGTAAGGGTTCAACGTTATTTCAACTTTTAGAGTATCATCTTGTTTTCTTATTTTCTGAGCTAAACTAACTTTAAGTATCGGGTCGATCGTTGCAGATATGAAATTGTAGGGCAGAAATGAATACAGAATAAGTAAGTGGTAATTCTACGAGTAGTTTATTGACGATCTTTGAAAGCAACTAACCGTAGTTAATTATTGGTGCATTTAGTAACATTGAAAATGAGTTTCTACTTTCATCAAGTATTGGATAAATCATTTTCATTTCAATAGTTTATAATAGAGTTGACTAAAACTATTCAATGAGCCTGCCATGCTATAACTGTTGCGTTACTGAAAGAATGATCTGTTCTTATATGAATATTCTTACATGATTGAATCATGTCATTGATGCTAATTTTAACGCGTTAATTAGAAGCATTGGGCAAAAGATCAAGAATAAAATCTTTGCTTTGGTAAGATGATAAAATAAGATGTCATCGCAGTGCATTGATTCAATCATTTAACGTAGGGAAATTTGTAGAGTCGATGATATTGAGTTCAATTCCTCTTCATGATTTTTGAATGAAGAATAATATATGTGTACTCATGAACGCCTGCCCGATCGATATTTGACGTATGTTAAAGGGCAAAAAATATAAGTCTGTGGTCAATGCTACTAGCCAAATTGATCGATGGCTACAGTAGTCCGTTTCTAGTCATTACTTTCGCTCCTCAAGCAAAAGTTCATTTATTAATGAAATATATGAATTAATGAAAGAAGTAACAGCCTTAAAGCACTCGATGAAAATATTCCTTAACTGGCCTACGATAGAACAATACTGATATCCAAGAGACGAGTACAATATCTACCTTTCTATTTAAGCTATCCTGGATGGTAATATCCCAGTTAAATTAAAAGTAAGATCTTGATTAATGCGATCAACAAATGAATCATGTTTTATATGACTCTCAACAGCCAAATTATACGCATTATCCAAAGACCTACGGCTTATTGATAGTCTATTAATGGATAATTCATTGATTCCAATGAGTAAAGAAGAAACGGAGATCATTGCGTAACTTGATAGAATCGTTTATGACTTTAATTATCCTTGATGATCAGTCTAATTGATGACCGATTGTATCACAATTATTATCGACGTAATCGATTGTATATTAGGCAGTCTCGCGTCTTAATTATGCTAATAAAAATTGAAATTTAATTGCTGCCCCGTTGTACTTCATTGATAACAACAAGCATTCATTTAGATTACGCTGAATATTTAATTCTGATTATGCATTGGCCATAATGACGGTAGAGTATAAATTAAATAAACTTTCTATTATTAAGGATAAGTGTTTAAATAGCGGATGATGCTATTATTCAATGTAATAATGTGCGCTCGTATGTGTTAAAATATCGCCATTGACACAAGTTGCATGTCTGATGGAAATATGTCCACCTGTTTTTTAGAATTGATTCAGGTGGTCGAATCAATTGTTGATTGATTTTCTCATTTTAGCATTTACTTTAACATGAAATGGAATGCGACTATCTGATGAAGGCATATTAATCAAGCGTCCAAATGCCTAATAAGTTCATCATAAAGTCAGTTCCCTTTGCCTTTCTGCTATCGTTTTTTATTGATCCCTTAGTAGGCAAAAATACTCTTTCAAGCGTCTTAAGATCCATATCCTTCGTACGTGTACTTGTGATTCTTGTTACCAGTTGGATCCTATTCAACTTCATCTTGCCAATATTCACTTGAATGGAATAATAATGCCGACCGATAGCGCATCATACTGTTGCATTTCTGTTTGCAGCTTGTACGTGCTATGCTGATGAATCATCCAGTTGCATTGCGTGTTAATGCAGTAATAGGGACATGTAATATAGGTCTATCCCTGTGTAAAGGCTGTGGTAGAGACCACTGGCAAGATGTTGACAGATTTTACAATTTGTGCATCCATCTCATTCGCATCTCCTTTATTGCCCATATTGGATTTGATTTTATGTGTTGAAATGACGGAGGAAGAAGCTTTCGCCAATCTGTACGTCCATCCATCCCACTCCATCATGGGCAGTACCGTAGTTGATAGTTGATACTGTAGTGTACACTGACTGTACTTCTCCTATACTGTAGAGTACTGTACTGTACTGTACAGTACCGTACACGGGAACGGTTACTGCACTCTTTTACTTTTGCATGGATACTGTATAGTGTACAGTTTTTCCATGATACTGTATTGTACTGTATTGTACACTGTAAAGGACGGCTTGTCCGTCCGCCCTAATGCACTGTACAGTGTACAGTTCTTCCATGATACTGTATAGTACTGTACTGTACACTGTAAAGGATGTGCTGTCCGTCCACGACACCGTACTGTCGTGTCCAGTGTACAGTACAGTGTACAGTGTACAGTCCCTCCATGATACTGTACTGTGTACTGTAATATTCGGGACGGAACGGTACCCATGGACGCAAGAAGAACTCGCTGGTACAAAAACATCTTGCGCCGGTCCTTTTTGTCGGCCATTGGTTCTCCATTCCACAAAACTTCTTTCGTCGAGCTTCTATCATTCTTTCGCTATCGAGCATCTTATTTCCTCACCATACCTACAAAATCATCATGTACTAGTGGATGTTGTCCTTCATGTTATTAGTGAGAAGATCTTGTTAAAGCATTGGACACGAACCCGTCTAGTAGTGGACGAGTCATTACCATCTTGAAGACAGTATGGCTGGAATGGATAGATTAGTGGTCAGTTGGATCGTCGTCATCATCATCGGTTTTGTCTCTAGGCCTTCAGCCTTAGCCACAGATTCAGATTCTACTACTTTGCTACCTTCTACCACGTCGACCGATAGTTTGATGGTGACCAATTCAACGCAAAATAGGGAAGATAAATGTAGTCATTCACTGATGCAATGCAGTCAATTACCTGCTATATGCTTGCAATGTGACATGACCTACAACTGCTTTTATGGAGAAGAATTAACTGTCAATTGTTCATCTTTACCTGGCATCAACTGTAAAGTGAGTAATTGGACATTGATTACACTACCATCACGAATCATCTAATCTACTTGCCCACTCAATCGATTCAATTCCGAATGCCGTCTTAACGACGTTGTAGAACGGCTAATAATGCACCAGAGTAGTCTGTCCAATGGATCGGATCAATTGGCTGAGAACGATAGTGATAGACACTAAAATACTCGTATAGAGAAAGACTTGTACTGTGCCGGACAATGTACTACTCTAGTCTACAGTATCGCTACAATCGTCATTTCAACTTGTTTATTCTCTCTACTCTACCGAAGAGAATGTTGACTGCTTTTGTTAAACTTTTTCAATCGTCAATGAGTCATTCAATTACTGTACGAGTAGATGGGTTATTCATGGCTTCAGTTTGACATGAATCCATCCATCATACTATAAGGCAATAGTTTCTTACAGCCTGGTATTACTCCGCTATCGTGATAACGTAGAAAGTTCTCATGAATTCAAATAAGAGTTCTACTTGTTCATAAGTTAAGACTTTCTAGTTCCTAGTAGTCCAATTGAAAGTTTGCTAGCTGGAATGATTATGTTATAAAACTGTAAGTTCACTTGATCTACATTGTCGATACAAATCGCATTGCCCGATAGCCTACTGTAACAGACACTGTTGTGGCCTTTTACTCTACTTCTAAAAATCACTCTGATCTATCTCGGAGCATCCAAAAATCAACCTACTGCAACATACGTGTACAGTAGAGTACATGTAGGCATACTTTTATGCCCATGGAATATACTTACCCTTGGGATGTCCTAATAGGGACTTTTAAAATAACTTGCTGACGCTATATCACCTATTCTTACAGATACACGACCTGAACAAAGTATTTTCTGTTTGTACACCAGACTTAGTAATCTATCACCAATGACTACACGCCAACGATACTATATTATTTTTCACTGGGATAATAGTAATGATAGCATTATCTTGCTTTACAGACAGCGTTAAAACTAATGCTAGTCTTTTATTAATTAATCTTATCATAAATTATTTTAGGGAGATGATAATTTCATTCGATCAATGAAATGTGCGTTTTGCTATCAATTTCCATCTTCCAATTATACATGTTCTAGCAACTTCAGTTGCCGTGTAAGAATCGCATACTCCTTATACATTACTTTTACCAAGAGCACTACTTCTCAATCGAACTATAAATGATATTGTTGTTCTTGTATTAATAGGCTGTCGGAAATAAAAGTACCTCAACATATATTGCCACCTGCACCATCGATAATAGTATTCTTTGCTTAGGTAAGTACTCGCGTATAGTCGTATTTCATGGTAATATATCATAAATACTTGATCGCTATAGGCATCAAATGGTGACACTACTTTACTAAGGATAAATTAAATAAACTAAATTTGAAGGAAGTAGAACATTTCAAAAAAATGTTAAATGTAATTGGACTTCGGGACATCACTGGAGCACAGCTGTTATACTTAGGTGCGTATCGCTAGCGAGACCATTAATCAATCCTCTAGTTTAATTGCCACTTACTACCTAGTTTATATTGTACCATTGATGATAATAAAATAATGATGAATAAAACATTGCAATAAACTCTTACCAATAGCTAATCTTATTGATTCTACTACACGATATCCTTTAATTAGACTTGTACCAAACAAGTTATTTAATATCATTTTGTCTATTGATCCGAAACTTTCAGTATTACCTTGGGAGGTTTTGGCGCTGATCGGTTTTATTTAGGGTATTGGCGTACAGGCCTAGGCAAATTGTTTAGTCTTGGTGGTCTAGGAGTCTGGACACTAATAGATGTTGTTCTAATTGCTATTGGTTATTTAAAGCCAGAGGATGGTTCGTTGTATTTATAAATGCAGCCTTTAATTTTCAAACGTTTATGTGCATTCTGGATTGTACAAAGCAGCGCAAATGTGATGCAATATTGAATACTGCATTGAGCCGTTGTAAAGCATCAAGTTTATTTTCTGTAAAGGATATTGTTTCATAATTCGATAAATTACATTATCTATATTAAAGGTGTTTGTTATGAGACTCGTCAATATTACAGTGATCACTTTACCAATACGTTGTTATATATGAAATACGTAACTCATGTAAATAAGTAAACTTGTTTTGGACGTTGTTAATTACTATAGTATATCGTTGTAATTGTATATCAAATTACCAAGCAGTATCAAAGCACTAATTATAGTACTAATGTAGATTACGATCTAATAATCTCGAATTTAAATTAAATTAGTTTTGATATCGAATAATTTCCTTAAAATCCTGCAAATTGAGTTATGGATTAACAATAATTATCTGGATGTGAAAGTTCTGCTGCTTGCTAGTCGCTGTACATAACCACACATTGTATCAGAGAGGGATTTCTCGAAACTGTACTAATATTATTGAAGATATATTTTTAAATATGAGTAACTTATTACCATTACATTAAATGATTATCAAACGATAATTTATTCTATTTACTATCTGACTTCATACAGATAGTGAAAATAAGTCAATGCTTACGATGTGTACGATTAGTGAATACGCGTACTTACAATGTGTATAAATTCTTGAATTCAAAATTCTTTTCTTATTATAAAATTACATAATAAATAGCATATGCATTTATTACATATATATATACACTAGTTAGCTATCATTGGCTTTTGAAATCAAGATTTTGCAATCTGTAAGCTGATAACATCTTGTAGTCGCTTGTTAGTTATTATTATAGTGCTGTCCAAAAGAATTATTTTGTTTTCCCCACTATACTGTACTAGCATATGAGTATTTACGGTATAAATCTAATCTGTTCACGTACGGTGACTGTAAAAATGAAAACATTACGCCAAATTTTTTCGTTTTTAAACTCATTCCTGATATTGGGCTAGTAATTAAGGAGATTTCACTGTAAATTATCGGATATCACGATAGATTATCCTTATTTTTTAAAGAATACATGAGGATGCAAGTAGCGCTAACGCTAATATTGATAGCCATTCAAGGTAGTGGCTTGGCCCAATCACGCTTTGTCAATTTCTTTGCACCAATATGAATTATAACATTGCCTATATTCGTATGTACAGTACACGACGTATGCATGCAGCTGTCACTACAATTCTCTACGCCTTACTATGATCGCATTTAGCAGATAATAGATCAATAAATTAGAATGTTTCTAGACACCATACAAAGAATTGACGCAAAACATTTGATTTATTTACCATTAGCAATATCATCAAAAGATTACTTTAAAAATGTAATAAGATGAGATATAATGAATGAAACACATGCCAGGTTAAAATCAGCTTCTAATTATAGAATTTAATCTTGTTTAGATAAATAAATTTCTACGACTTAAAACAGACTGCGGGCATTAGACACATAATGCATGCTATTAGTCGATATAAATGTGCTAGTTTAATAAAATTTATAAACTACCGAAAGAAAAATTATCATATAGCCGCAGGAACGTTATTACTTCTATCTTGGATAAAGCGCTACTATGGTCAACAAAACCTGTGATTGGCAAATCAAACCAGATTAAAGATCTTGTAATAGCTTTACATTGGAACTACCTGCGTGAAATAATTCACGGTGGCCCTCATATATATATTTTATAAATAGACATTTTTGTCTGTTAAGTTTGCTGCACCGTCTAGTCTTCCATATTACGGAAACACTGTTGAATACGTTCATTCAATTCCGCAAAATCTGCTTTAATTTTTGCTTCGCCATCTTTACTAGGATCCTAATAGTAGCAAATACGCGTACGTAACGGCATCAATATCATTGAAATAGAGTAGATTATGATGCTGTATGTTTAGAAGTACCCGAAAGTATTCATCACTAGAATGATTAAGTTAATACTAATTCCACGTACCTTGAATTTCATACTACTTAAGGCATACAGTACATCATTCATCTGTTCTTTAATCATTCCCCAAGTAATTTTGTTATCTGCTTGAGCTGTTGACTCAACAGCATGACGAGCCGAATCATAGAAAGATATCATATTTTGAAGCATACCAACAGTTTTATAAAATGGGCAAAAACGATCATAAGGGGTATAACCGTTCTGTTGTAAGAAATCATCTTTAATTAATTTGGCTACTTCTAACGTAATTTTGTCTGCTTCAGCCAATGAACCCTACGGCAGATGAAAAATACATAATTTTAACGAATATTTTCATAGAAAACAACGTAAATATTTTCAGTTATTGTCCATCTTATATTACCTTGCCAACAAGTTGTACAATTTCAGATAGATCTTCTTCTTCTTGTAAAATTTCCTTGACCTAAACCAAACAATTATACTGATGTTGCAATACTATTTTGATCAATAAAATTGAGCTTATATTAAAGTACCTTAGTTCTTAAAGGTACAAACTCCGAGTAATTTTTTTCATAAAAATCATCCAAAGCACGTAGATACTTGCTGTAACTGATAAGCCAGTTGATCGATGGGAAATGCTTACGTTGAGCCAATTTTTTATCTAGACCCCAAAATACCTGAAAAAATATTTACCTAATTTTATAAACTGTTCCTAGCGATTAATATCGTGCATCATTTAAAATATACCTGAACGATACCAAGGGTAGCTGAAGTGACTGGATCGGAAAAGTCACCACCTGGCGGTGATACTGCACCGACAATGCTAACACTACCTTCTCTGCTTGGATTACCAATACATTTGACACGACCTGCTCGTTCATAGAAAGATGCCAAACGTGCACCTAGATAAGCGGGGTAACCGCTGTCTATTGATCATTAATGTAATTTTAGAAGATTAGTCAAATGAGTACATTTGGTTCAGTTTTATGACTATAAGTAATATTAACTAGTTACAGTAATCAGACAAGGGTAAATTATCTACTATCAATTGTTAAAGTATTTACCAGCAGGCATTTCAGCTAAACGTCCGGAAATTTCACGCAAGGCCTCAGCCCATCTGGAGGTAGAATCTGCCATCATACTCACGTTATATCCCATATCACGGAAGTACTCTGATAAGGTAATACCTAGAATAAAATGGATAATTGTAAGAAGTGACAGGGTTCAACTCGGTAGCTCTATACCACTACTTGACTTTAATCATATGATACAATTACCATAGAAAGGCTAAAAAAGTGTAGCCAATTTAGAAATTGAATAGTTTAAAGTAATACCTGTATAGATTGATGCTTCACGAGCAGCTACAGGCATATTAGAGGTATTGGCAACGAGAGCTGTTCTTTTCATGATAGATTCAGTGACACCACCGATTTCAACAGTGAGCTAACATTATTCAAGATATTCAATTAACTCTTAGAATTTTATATCTTTGAGATTAAGTATTTCAAATCTGACTTTTATATCGAACCTCTGGGAAGTCACGCAATACTTCAGACATTTCATTACCACGCTCACCACAACCAACATAAATGATAACATCGGAGTTGGAATACTTAGAAAGCGACTGAGAAATAACAGTTTTACCGCATCCGAATGCTCCAGGAATAGCAGTAGTTCCACCCAAGACGCAGCTATATAATATACAATGAAACATTAGTTGAGTTTATTATTATAAATATCTCAATCTATTTCTTACTTCATACAGAAATCACTATGTAAAATATGTTAGATGAAAGTTATATCCTTACGGGAAAAGGGAATCAAGTACTCTTTGACCAGTAAGTAGTGGATGATTTGCTGCCAATTTCTCAGCAACTGGACGTAGCTGACGAACAGGCCATACCTGTGTTGACAAAATGGTAATAAAGGTTAAAAAATTCTTTTAATAAACGCTTGGCACGTATGCCTATACACATGTATTACATGTGTTGACTATCCTCATTTGAACATGGAAACTATCAAGGAAATCTATCAATGCGCTTACAATATACCATACTATAAGTAGGCAGAATAGATGAACAACAAAACAACAATTAGTTTGGTAGATTCTTTACCTGCAACATCGTATAGGAGCTCTTCTCACCGTCAAATTCAGTTTCTAATACAACATCCTGTAACACAATTCAAACCGTTAGTGTAAAATTGCCACTCAACTAGACGACAGGAATAGCATGATATATTGTTCAATCGTAATGTATTGGACTAACGTTGATGGTATAATTTCCAGGGGGTGCAATGTAAGTTACAGTTCCTCTAGCACTCGGGGGCAACATTAAGCGGTGCTCAATCAAAGAATTTTCACGGATAATACCATATATATCACCACCAGTGATATGAGAACCAACTTTAGCGTCTCTAGGTTTAAATTCCCATTGTGCGGTACGACCGAGAGCAGAAGTGTTGACACCACGGGGAATATAGATACTTTCAGTCATTTCGTTAATATCCTAGAGAAATTAGGTTACAGGTTATATTTTCATGCAAAATGCACTATTGTAATAATTGTTTTATGACACTGGATAAAAATACCTTCAAAGGACGTTGAATTCCATCAAAAATGCTACCCATAATACCTGGAGAGCGCAAACAATTATAGAAACATAAGTTCACTATAAACTACTATTTCTGTTTCTATCGCCGCAAGTTATAGTAACCTTAAGATTATTTGAAAAACACATCAATCGATGTAATAACTATTACAGGAATAGCAATATCAACTTGCCTGGGCCTAATTCGACGGATAATGGCTTGCCTGTCCTAAGTACAGGATCGCCAACTGTTACACCAGCTATAGTTAGTTACACGAGTTAAGGAAGACGAAGTTATTTAGGGTTATGAATCACAGCGAATAGGCAATATGCAGTATTTTCGTGAACAATAATTAATTCAATTTTCGGTAACGTAGGCTTAGTGTGGTGATTCGTAGTATGAAATTTGTACAATTGCCCAAAGATGCTGGATCAACATAATCCAAGGTATGATGATGAAGTAAGTCGGTAATTGTATCATCTACAATTGTAGTTCCCAATATTTTCCTAACATACTATAGCTTGCAGACAACTTTGTATGGTTGATTGATTGAACTACATGTACCATAAATTAGTATTTATTGACTAAAAAACGATCATTTGGACAATGCAATGTTGGACATAGGATACAGGTTTCTTCATATGTCTGAATTGTGGCGGAATCTCCTTCCAAACGGATAATTTCTCCTACCAATTCACTATGACCGACACGTACCTAATTGAATCAATCATTAATAATGTCAGTAAGAAATCAATCAATCTACCAGTCAGTCTATCCATTACGATAGTATTTAGAATGGCCTATTTTATAGAAGAATGCAGCTACAAGGTAAAAGCGCTCTTTCTTATCATAAAAACTTTAGCTGTACTTGTCAACGATATAGAACAGTATCAAGAGAGGGGAAAAAATAGAAAGCAGTAACTTCTCTGTTGCTAGTATACATTATAGTATGCAGTATACGGCATATGTTGTCAAAAAACAGAATGCCAGTTCCACCAACAAGTGGATGACTGTACATATGTCATGCATCTTCAGTATAATAAAGCGTAAGATTTCTAGCGGCGACTATGGTATTTAGTGGCTTCGCATCCACTTTGTTCAGTTTTGGATAGAATTGAAATTGTGTCGCTTTCACAATTTTCATCCATCATAGCATCATACAGCAATAATAATCAATGAGAAAAACATTTGTTTGATTGAGCATGGAAAAAAAGGATCGCTGTAGTGAATTATTTAATAACCATATTGCCAGCAAATGCACATCTGCCTGATTCATTGCGTGACCAGTACATTGAAGAGTATATTTTTTTAAAGTAGAATCATTTGATCGATCCTTTCACTTACCAATTCGTACATAGCAGCACCACTCATTTTAGTAGCGGTAACCACTGAAAGTCAAAAAGGGGAAGACAATAAAGATTTATTAAGTGTCATCAAAACGATCAAGCAAAGTCATTTTTATCCATTGACATCTAACAAGAACCCTTGAATCACTGTTCGACTTACCAGGACCGGAGACGGCATGTACATAACCGTACATGCTCTCACGGTCTTCATCCGATGTTTTAATCAATTTTTTCGATTTATCTGCAGACTACATAGTAATATATTGATGCAAGTGAATGAATTAGCTAGCCATGAAAGAGTTATTCCTTTTAAAACATCGTTCTACAAGCTATTTTGCTCAATAATAACTCACCATGTTGCAAACTCCTCAATCCTCTGGAAGAGATAGACTACCGTAATGACCCACTGGGCAATGTGCAGCTACGTACGTAACGTAGTCGAGTTTATAATGGCCTGATGCTAACATAGATCAAGGTGACTGCGTTGCTCAGCAGCTTGAAGCACTACCTTGTGTATGAAGAAGGACGCTGAACTGCAGCATTCACTTTCCAGTCGTCGTACTGTACAGTACGACGACTGTACGGATGAGTCACAGTCGTACTGTACCGTACCGTACCGTACAGTGTACAGTCCGGTAGGCTACGGTACACTCTGTCGACAAGTACTGTACAGTCCCGTACTGTACTGTATGACGGAAGCAGGGATATCGAGGGAAAACAGAATCAGCGCATGTCGGTATGACAGTCACGTGTGATGGATTTCAGAAAAGTTCAACAACGGTAGAATATTTAGTTTAATCATACAGTTGAGAAAAAACCTACAGTACTGTACAGTAGTATTGTAGGTACTGATGTGGGTGGATCATAGAGTTGAGAAAAAAACATACAGTACAGTACAGTAGAGCGTTAACTTCGCTAAAACCTACCATAGGGTAGACTGTTAAGTACAATCTGATACAGTACAGAACGTACTGGTGTGGCTTTACTGTGAAGTATTGTTACTGGACAGGACACTCCTGTGAATCAATTTGTGATCATCACGACTGTCACAAGACTGGACTTCAATGTACAGTACAGTACACTGTACAGTACAGTACACTACACTACAGTACAATGTACAGTACAACACCTGGACTCGAGCTCGGGGGGGGGAGTGTTTGTATAGCGATTGCACTCATTTCGGGTTCGAAAATCAACAATTTGATCGGGTTTTATCGGGTTCGGGTTGCTTGCTTCTCCATTCAAGGACCTTACCTGATACACTAGTATTCTACTTTAATACAAGTATTCCTATAGCGCAGTTAAAACACATTTACATCATCCATAAAGAACACCACGTAGTGTACGTACGTATTGCTGACCTTGGAAAAAAAGGCTTCTTTACAGTTAGTCAACGGTAAATCAACACCTACGAACTTTATCCAAACATCAGACTTAATCAACCTGCGCGTTTTATGTACAGTACAGTATGTATAATCTCGATATGCAGTATTAACGTACAATATATTACATACAGTACTGTAGTGTGCATCACTTGTGGCAAGTGGCGCGAGAGACAGTATAATGACGTCTTCATTACACTATGCACAACTGCTATCGTACGTTGTTTTTTTCGGCAGTTTACTACGGTACTAGCTTTCTAGGCTGCGTCTACTTCAAACTCGCTTGACTTCACAGTGGTAGACAGCGACGCATAAACCGAATTGCGTCGTTTAGCATTATTTTTTTCCATGATATCTATAAAATCGGCTATGTAATTGCTTGTTTGACCCTCGATGCTGTCAGGATAAGATATAGAGTAATAGCTTCACCATAATCAATTTTACCGATCTACAGTATACTCATATGTATTACGACATAGCCATCGTTTAACAATCACTTTTTGCAAGATTTCTTCTTAAAGTCTGTCAATGCTATCCCAAATACCTTTGATTTTCTGACATACACGTATACAGAAGTTGCAGCATTATGCTACCGTTACTATAGCATGCTAGCTTTTACCCGGTAAATGAAATAAAGAAGCTACGAGCTCGTATTATAATACAGCTGATATTATATGGGCATTACTTGAGTGACTTAATCCTATCCTAAAGGTATTTAACATCCAAATGCATGTATGAATCATCCACTAATTTACTCTATGCGCTACAAAGCCTACCAAAATCACAAGCGGCAATACAACATACAAAGTTAGTAATTATCCCTTCATACAGGTGACTTTATTAGCATAACTTCCCTAAGATATTGAGGCATTGCTAACACGCAAAAGATATGTTGAATCCAATTTAAATAGCAAGCGTATATCCAGGGTACTAATAAAGTACCAGCAGTGGAGATCGATCAAAGCATAACTAGGAAATATTGCATGAAAACATCAATTCTCCAGAGAAATACTGCAACTACACCGCTACGTATTTAGAATTCAGTTTTAGGACGCTTTTCTCTCCATTCCTTAATTTTGGGATTATTGGCAATACGATCAAACAACCCATTCAAACCAGGGAAACTCTGTAAGACATCTTCTTTAGCTCCTTTAAGGTACTCAGCAGCAAAGAAGAAGTATAAATCGCCAACGGTTAACTGTAAACAAAGCAAAACGTTAGAAATAGGCTATAACAATTGTGCACTACTGTATATGTACACTTGCAAAAAAAGGATTCAACAATTGTATATACTTCAGCTACAGCGCACAATCGAGGGCTGCTTCGTACTTACTGAGTCGCCAGCAAAATAACTAGTACCACCTTCCTGAAATACTTTTTCAACAGCAACCAACCATGTCGGTATAAATTTTTCAGTCAGCTCCTTCTGCTTATCGGCCTGCATGCATATGACGATAGCAAAGGAATAAAAATCCGAGATCAGATTCGTAATATATCTACTAGATACTAGGATACCTAATTTCTTAACATTGACATTACTACACACGCACTTAGAGCTACCCATATACAGGATATCAAAGTATTACAAGGAATGCGATAAATATCGCTAAAATGTGATTATAAATATAAATTACTCGTGCAAGTTACAGTTTCCAAAAAGTAAGAAATATAATAGGATACCACATCGCATAATGTTATCATTCTAATAATTATAACTGACCTTTATGGCTTCATCTGCTTCAAAGTGAGCTGCAACGAGCTTGGTTATCAAGTCAGAAACAGCTCCCTCAACGAGATAGATCTTATACACATCATTACTGGTTTTACCGGCAAAACCTAACATATGGTGATAGTATGTATACCACGTATTAGTAGTGTTTTACCTAAGCAGTTTCATCACATCTTCAATAAGCTCAATCTTCCAACTTTAGTGAATAAAGTATTATGTTATAAATAGAGACACGCGCTAAAGTTCAAATTATAATAGCTACTACTAGACACCGTCCGTACCCAAGTTGCAATACGGTATATATATAACATAAATACTACTTTACAGTGATAAATTCAGACAAATAGGATAATTTGCATAAACTACATATATTGGTTATCTACTGTATACTGCTTGGATATTATATTATATACTTATAGAGCAGAGTTATTTAATCAAAGTACTGTATGACGGAAAAATAGGCGTTTGATTTAAACTACGAGTATGATAACTTTGGCTTACATTAAGTTTGCCTATATCGACCAAATGATTACAGCTAGATCTTTACTTAAGGTGTAATAGCTGGTTATACTACTCAAAGTAACAGCAGTTTACTAAATGAATACATGTTATGGTATTAGAGAAATATTGGAGGATCATAGATTACCACGACGCACCAATTCAGAAACAGTATACAGTATATTTAAATCAATTAACATAAACCTTCAATCGACTGTTAGTTTTATATCATTTCGCTATGCATAAAGGTTTCAACTGGTAAACGTTTGAAATAATCCTAGTAACTATAATTTAATCGAACTAGCTTCATAGTACCATTGTCAAACAGATAAAGTCAAATTACTCAGACAACCAACGAAGGTTAGTATTTCCTTCTAATATACTGTACGCGTACTATGCACTAGTATGCAGCATGCATATGGCATAACATACCGAATTCTTTGGCAAGATAGGCGACAATCGCATTACTTTGGCATAACACTTTGCCATCAACTTCTAGAATCGGCAGTTGTCCAAAGGGAGCTTTAGAACCTGAAGTCCAAAAAAAAGTGACATTTGTTTACAGCTTAGCATTCGTATATAACCGATGTAATTGCGCATGACTGCACCGATTTAATTAATCAATAATTAATTAATTATGACAATATATATATATATATTTATACTGTGCTGTACTGTGTACTATCTGCTAGCACTTCCGAGTTTTGAGTACTGTTTTAGACAAATACAGACACAGTAGGTTGGTAAATCTGGTAACCAAAGAAATAAAAGAAAATGAAAATTAATTACAGTATCTCCATTATCTCTCTCTCTTTCATCCCTACGGTAGTGCCTGCCATCATAGAACCACAGAAGTATCAATTTTGTCAAAATCCTTTTATTGCACACAGAAGCACAGATTACAGTAAAAGTACAGAACGCTAATGGGTATGCAGCGTTGATGTAGCACGCCAAAATGGTGCAAAGACAAAGACTAAAATATTTGCTAGCGTTACGATTCATGAGGATCAAATGAAACTGCACAGATCAACAGTAATATGAGTCGAAATGAATTTTTACAGTATTTCTTATACTGTACTTTCTTGATTTTATAACTGCACTAAATGACGATCTATTGAGTCTCCTTACTCATTGATATTGTCATAGTATCAGTAGAGTGACTTCGTAAGGGTCAGTCTTAGATGCGCATGTATTTGAACTTCATATGCATATAGAATCTTCTAGAATACTCAGTCTATGTATATTATAATAACTAACTAATAAGTTCTAGAATATTCCATGATACTGTAGCTGTCATTCTTTATTAGTTCGCATTTATAAGTCTTAATAAAGTTCTATTCCTTGCAAACGCTTTGACGATCAACTGCTTACTATAATAGTGTATCTGCTGAGACACTGATCATACCAACTCGTATAAGGTCGATTTAGAATGAGCCAGCCTTCGATTGCATAATCTTTCATTTTGCAAAATAGTACCATGAAAATGATCGACCTGACTTAAGCTGAAGTGTATACTGCAACTGATTTGCTGGATTATTCTTGATAGAATTCTTATAATCTTTTTTAATATACAGTATGACCAGGGATGTACGAGAATGATTTGCAAAACGAACTACTACAAGACACGGCATATCGAACAACATGTCCATTGTACTGTACAGAACGACTAAACCAATAAACTGATATAAATCAGTGTTTTGCAGCGAAAGCGGATAAGAGTCCATGACTCCTTTGTTAAAATATACTAGCTTCGTAATACCCGTTGTAAAACGGGCACAGTCGAATCTAGCTTTGCTTACCACGCTTCGCCACACAGATTATGACTTTGTGTTTACTGGGCGTACGCCTGATTTACACTCAGTAAAAATGTGGTAATTGATGAAATTTCAACTTTCCATGTGCAAAATAGTAACGCCAATCTACCGCAATTGTTGATACAGTAGTAGTACAGCACTGACAAGAGAAAGGGGAGCAGAAAGAGAGGACAGTCTAAATTATATACTCGTATACTGTATATATATATATTATCATCTACGCTGGAAAAGAAGTGCAGTACAGTACGCACTCTGAGTGCTAGTCATTTTTTTTTATTTATTTATTATCATTACTCTAACCGGCTTTCTGCTTTGCCCATTCTTCAGAACTCAAGCGAAGATCTTCATATGGAGTATCACTTAAAGCGAACAAGTAGCGAATGATTTCTCCACGTCCGCGGCTGTTAAAGTAAGTCAATTTGTAGCTCGGCATGTCCAAAGATCTTCGGTAACGCTAAAAACAGATGTGTTTCTTTCTTGCTCGTTGCTTGTGCTGTAGCGTGTGTGTGGGCTTCTGATCACATGTTTAGATGACGTACAGTACTGTACTGTACAGATTGTACAGATCAAGATCATGACGTACCGTACTCTAGTACTGTACGCATGGGCAATTGGGCATATGAAATAAAACTATGACGAAGAACCACTGACAAGGAGTCAATTACTTAGCCAAAAGTTGAAAATGAGGCTCTATTATTTAGTGTTAATTTAATTTAATTACAGGGTTTTAAAATAAAATTGAGGAAAAGAAAAAGTATGGCTGTCGCGGTACGCCGTTACTAATTAAGCAACTGTTGATTAATGAATGCTTATGAATAGATAAGATAAGGTTATGTGCTATGTTTAATGCGCTTGTAGCTGATAATAGAATGGTAGAAATGCGATAGAAATAGAAGTTGTTAACAGTTAATTTACTGTAGGTTTGTAAGGTGTGTTAATCTCTAAAAATTGAGCCGTATATGGACGAAGGTTAAGCGTCTTAACACCTGATAGCTTGCAGCCATCTAAGTCTGAGAATATCGACATGTACGTATATTTAGTAATGGTATTATACTAATTAATGTAACTTGTAAAGTATGAATTCTCACCCGTTAATATTGGAATTCACTGTAGAAGCCCATTTAAGCGCGTGTGTTTGTAGAATAAAGTTAGTAATTGCTCAAGAAATGGCAAGACTCATATCGTGAAGAATAGTGTAATAATTAGTCAGTTGTCTGTAGAGATCAGCCGAGAAATCGAGTTCTCAAACACTGCTCTCATAGAAACTGAAAGTACTGGGAGAAATAGCCCAAGTTTTAAGTAACTACACTAGAGTTCTTTACTTTCCTTTGCCACAAGTGAGGGTTGTGACAATGGCGTTCAGTATTTGAAATTTTGAAAAGATTAGAGAAACTAAGCTGAGATAAAGATAAATTTGAAACTGGCTGTTATGTCTTGTGTCATCGATATATTTGCGTATACTCGTATGTACTGTGTACACTATACTGTACTCCTTACTTTAATTAATGAATGAATTACTGTCCACTCAGATATACAGTATGCTGTCCTGCAGCTTTAATCTTTTCCTAGAAATCACGTTTTCGTAGTGAGCAACAATTACAATGTTGACAAAAAGACAGATAATGTTAAGGTTATCACAGAGCTTAACATTATCTGTGTTTTGAACTCTAGTAATCCATTGTTTCATTTTATGCTTACCACAGAACTAGGGTCTGAATAGAAGATTAGCAATTCAGAACTTAATTCTAAGGTCATCAACGAGCATAATCACAGACCTTTACTCAAGTAATCCATAACTTAATTTTAAAGTCATTTAGATTGCTGATGGTAGCTGGTGTTTATGCGCCAGTACCACCCTAAAATGCTCAGCTTGATACTGTATCCGGGTTCATTTGAGGATTCAAGAACCTCGTCAAGATTTACAGTACTGTACTATACTATTATAGCAATTATCATTTGACAACTCCATTCACTCAATCGTTTAAGCATAAACAATTTTCTCGACAGCGCCAAGTCTAATATCTATTCCTTCCAAAACTGTCTCGTACTATCTTTTAATATCCTATTCAGCCACTCGATGCCCATTATATTGCTACCTATATATGCTGTAGAGATGTAAATGTAGCTGGTAATTATGCTTTAATATGGGCAACTTTATTGAAAGGGATTTGAAAACGACAAAGCATAGATAACATACAAAAGGAATGTTGCACTCAGCTCAAGTATAATATAATATTTTCCAGGGTACCAATCAAATACAAGTTATGGAGATTGGTTGCAAGTTGGGAATTGCACTGAATTACCAATTCTAATGGAAAACAAAGTCGCTGTAACATTACTGTATATTTAGTGATCGGTTTTCGGGCGCTTTTCTCTCCACGCCTTAATTCTAGGATTATTAGCTATGCGATCGAACAACCCATCCAAAGCAGGGACACTTTTAAAGATATCTTTGTTCATGCTTTGAAGGGTCTCGGCAGTGAGGAGAAAATATAAATCGCCAAGGGTCAACTAAAGACAAAATGCAATATTATTAAGAATATGTTGATAGCTTTACAGTATGCATCTGCAAATTGCAGCTTGGAATCACGTTACAAGTATCACTTAGTACTTACTGAGTCGCCAACGAAAAAACTGGTACCTCCTTCCTTATATACTTTTTCAACAGCACTTAACCATGGAGGAAGAAAATTTTCAGAGAAATCTTTCAGTTTTTCGGCCTGTAAATGATACCGGATGCGTCAATACATATTAACTTTCTGAAGTGAACAAACTATTACGGCACATGAATCACTGTATATTATTACTACGTGCTTAGAATAGTTTATGTACTTTCTAGGAATACCAAGAAGGTAAAAAAGGAATGTCTTAAAACATTCATTAATTTAAGAGTAGATCGAATAGAGTAGCGTAGCGTATTGTATATCATATTATAATCATATTGTAAATCTATGATGCTGATGCCTTACCTTTTTCGCTTCGTCCGCTTCGAAGAAAATACCAATAAGCTTAGTCATTACATCAGTAACAGCTCCTTGAACGGCGTAAACTTTGTATTCATCCGCACTAGTTTTACCAGCAAATCCTACAATATAGTATAGTTTATTATTATATCAGGTATTCAGATGATGAAGGTTTATCTAGCTATATCTATGGCATAAATGAATCAATACAACAAAATAAACTTCACAATCTTTCTGTGTGCCTTTATCGTAGTAAAATTCAAAAGATACGTATAACTACCGTAAACAAGATCAATGCAAATTATGACTAATTAAAGCCGTAAATAAGGAGTAATAAACGTAGAAGTGTACAGTAATAACATCCTACGGTGAATGATAAGAAATAGATAATGTAGGATGAGTAGCAATTAGATTTACTCGTACTGTATATCTTAAGTACTTCTACGAGGGTATAGCAAATGCCTACCAAATTCTCGAGCCAGATAGGCTGCAATTGCGTGACTCTGGCACAGTACTTTGTCATCAACTTCTAACATCGGCAGCTGTCCAAAAGGAGCCTTAGAATCTGCAATTTAGATTAAAACTTTTCAATCATTCTCATCGTAAATAATTTTTATGCGATGTAGTTATTATAGTTTTACGGCCTTCAAAAGAACAATACAAATTGTATGTGAATTCCTGATAGATTACCACTGATGGTTCAATTGAAAATTGTATAGAAGCAATAAACGGAAGTCATTTTGTTTTGCTGTATTAACAACATTAAAGCTATACTACGATTCAGAGGTGTATGCTTGATCTACAGTACTATCTCTATAGGTCCGCGTACTGCTAGAGAGATTTAAGTTGCACACTGAATTTCTCTACACTGCATTCTATTTCTACTGTCGATTGAAGCTGGATCACGCTGAATGTACATTACAGCACTAACCGGATTTCATCTTTTTCCATTCCTCCGAAGTAACACGAACATCTTCGTAAGGGACACCGGCTAAAGCGAATAAGTAGCGAATAATTTCGCCACGACCTCGACTGTTAAAGTACGTTAAACGGTAGCTCGGCATCGTGAAAATCAATTGGTAAAAATTGCGACAAAGATTTTTCAGCAAGCGTGCACTGCACACTCTGTGGATTGCTTAAAGCAGGGAAGATTTTGAAATTGTTATGACGTATTTGAAGTTTTCTTGTCTGACCTATCACTAGGGCTATCTACACTGACGTCACAAAGTACAGTACAGTACAGTACAGTACTGTACAGTGTACAGTACGGTACTCTACACGACATCATTGGAAAACCACCGACAATGACTAAGGGAAAAGTTGATAACCAAAACTCAAGGGCTGCCACTGCAGACACTAGCACTAGATATCACATTTACTGTCAGCAACAAAATGCTGACGAACTAACAGCTAATGTTAACGGTTACCACAGAGCTTAATCCTGGATTGAACTTAAGCAATCCATAATTTAATTTTATGGTTACTGCAGAGCTAAAGTATGAATAGAACATTAGCAATTTATAACTTGATATTTTAAGGTTACCAAGGAGCATCATCACATGGGACTTTTACTCAAGTACTGTAATCCATCACTTAATTTTGAAGTCATTTAGATTGCTACAGTAGCTGGTGTTAGCATCTTAGCAATTTATAACTTAATATTTTAAGGTTACCAGGAGCATAATCACAGGGGGCTTTTACTCAAGTACTGTAATCCATCACTTAATTTGCAAGTCATTTAGATTGCTACTGTAGCTGGTGTTTATGCGACAGTACTGTCCTAAAATGTTCAGCTTGATACTGTATCCAGGTTCATTTAAGGATTTAAGAATCTGGGTAAGATATACTGTACTGTATTATACTATTATAGCAATGATCATTTGATAACTCCATTCAATCGTTACAGCATAAACAATTTTCTCGATAGCGTCAAGTCTAATATCTATTCCTTCCAAAACTGTCTTGTATTATTTTCTAATATCATGTTCAGCCATTCGATCCCATTATACTGCATACAAAGACGCACAGTACATTGGTACCTACAGTAATATAGAGATAAGTAACGCAGCTGGTAGTTCTAATACGAGCAAATTTATTGAAAGGGATTTAAAGATCACAAGGCACACAGAACAAACAAGGGAATATTGGCACCAATCAGCTATAAGTTAGGGAAGTCGCTTACAATATACGTTAGGAATTGCAATACTAATTACCAATCTAAAGGAAAATAAAATCGCTGCAACTTTTCTGCATGTTTAAAATTGTGTTTTCGGGCGCTTTTCTCTCCAAGCTTTAATTTGGGGAATATTAGCTATGCGATCGAACAGCTCATCCAAAGCAGGAGCACTTTTAAAGATATCTTTGCTACCTTGGCTAAAGACTTGGAGGGTCTCACAGGCGATAAGAAAGTATATATCGGCAAGGGTCAACTAAAAGTAAAATGCAATTACAGTAAGAATATGTTGATAGTGATTACACAGCATATATCTATAAATTATAGCTTGGAGCTATCTCACATGTATTACTAAATACTTACAGAGTCACCAACGAAAAAACTGGTACCACCTTCCTTATATACTTTTTCAACAGCACTTAACCATGAAGGAAGAAAATTTTCAGAGAAATCTTTCTGTTTTTCGGCCTGTAAATAAATGGCACCGGATACGTAAATACATATTAACTTTCTACAGTTGACAAACTATTACATGAGTCACTGCACATTACTACGTGCTTAGAATAGTTTCTGTACTTTCCGCAAGTAACAAGAAGGTAATAAATAGATAATAACTTAAACCATCATAAAACATTGATTAAGATATCTAACGATAACTGCCCAGTAAATACCAGTTACTAGGAAATGCATTACATTGAATACAGTACTGTATTGTATGTCATATCATATTATTATAAATCTACGATACTGATGCCTTACCTTTTTAGTTTCGTCCGCTTCGAAGTGAACACCAATAATCTTAGTCATAGCATCACCAAAAGCTCCTTGAACGACGTAAACTCTGTATTCATCCCAACTAGTTTTACCAGCTAATCCTACAATATAACACATTATTACATCAAGTATTCAGATGATGAAGGTTTATCTAGTTATATCTATGGCTTAAATAAATCGATTAAACAAAGCAAAATAAACTTGACAATCTTTGTGTGTGCCTTTATCGTTGTAAAATTCGAAACATAAGTATAATTGTACAAGATCAATGCGAGTTATGTTTAATTAAAGCCGTAACTAAGGAGTAATAAGCGTACAAGTGTATAGTAATAACATCCTACAATTAACTGTAAGAAATAGATAAATAATTATGATGCAAGACGAGTAGCAATTAGATTTACTCGTATATCTTAAGTACTTATATCTTAAGTACTTATATCATAAATGCCTACCAAATTCTCGAGCAAGATAGACTGCAATTGCGTCACTTTGGCACAGTACTTTATCATCAACTTCTAACATCGGAAGTTGTCCAAAAGGAGCCTTAGAATCTGCAATTTAGATTAAAACTTTTCAATCATTTTCATCGTAAATAATTGTTTACACGATGTAGTTATTATATTTTTACGTAGTTAAAAAGTACAGTAGGAATATTATGCCAATTCCTGACAGATTGCCACTAATGGTTAAATTGACAATTGTATAGAAGCGATAAAAGGAAGTAAAGTAAATTCTGTTTCGCTGTCTTGACAACACTAAAGCTGTAGTACTACGATTCTGTAGATTGCGTACAGCTAGAGAGATTAGGATACATACTAAATTTCTTTGCACTACATTCTATTTGTAGATTGAAGCTGGATGACGCTGGATTGATTTTGGGGGGCAAAAATTAGCAATTTTTAAAAGTATATTACAGCACTAACCGCCTTTTATCTTTTTCCATTCTTCTGAAGTAACGCGAACATCTTCATAAGAGACATCAGCTAAAGCGAATAAGTAGCGAGCAAGTTCGGCACGACCTCGAGCCTCAAAGTACGTTAAACGGTAGTTGGGCATTATGAAATCGTAAAAGTTCCGACAAAGATCTTTCAGCAAAGCGTGCACGCTTACAGGAGACGTTGGAAGTCCTTCTGACGTACTTTACCTATTTAATGGTGAATTTATTAGGCTATAAACACTGACGTCACAGGTGACTGGAGCATCTTTAGGGTTGACTTATGACGTTCTACTAGGGGCGGGGCTATTCCGTTCTCTGCAAATAAACGTCTACTGTACACTGTACAGTACGCCCTTCGCTAGTGTACGACCATCAAATCAATATGGAAGAAAATAGCCAAATCATTTACGATCTCTGATAATGTGATGCCGTTTAAATTGATGAACATAATAAAAATAAGTCGACTCCTTTATTTCAGTTAATAATGAAAGTTTTTACCCTCAGTATTTGTGTTTAAAATGATGCAGACATGCATTAATGTACTGTACAGTACTATAAAATTTTCGATCAAAGTTTATTACACTTGAGTTGTCAGAAGTATTGGACAAGCGTTTCCATGTTGAATACTATTTTACTGTGAAGTAAATTTTATAACGGCCATACTGTTATTTATATCCTCTGCGGTACACTGTTACTACACTATCACTGCTGACTGTATCGATTACGTTTAGCAATAAATAATCTGCTGCTCCTGCAAACCGGAGAGCATAAATTCATAATCTGGTTGTGTTGTTCACTCTCTTGAGCATTATAGTATGCTAGCTTGTGCTTTAGTCGAGGTCTCAAGCATTTTCGCTACCATTCGTCGTAGAACACGGTAAATATGATTTAAATGCAAAGTAGCACATTCAAAAACCTAAAATATGAACCGAGGCTATTTGAGCATCTCATCAAGATTTAGAATGTATTCCTAAGTCTCTGTGTAGCAGTTAGGGACTTGAATAGTTCGATAGAACACCTCATTTCAGATATTTCCATACAAAGCGTCAACAATTCTCGTAATGGTTTCCAGTCTAACTTATCTTTCACCTTTAAACAATTTTATATCTATAATATTTTAATTCTCTATATCTATAATTTGCTCAAGTGTAGTATGACTGTTCTCTCTAGTACACTACACTCAGTAAATTAGATTACATTGTGTTTCTAAACTCGACGCGATCGTGTAATCTAGTCCGCTCTTACGGTTTAGATTTCACGATGTATTGCTGTTTATTTACTCGTGTATTCTTACTGGCTATGTAACAGTACCCGTTACAAAATCACATAAAGATATTACTTTACTTTACGAAAGGTAATATACTAGCAGCTATCCATCAACACGGAAAACTTCATTAGAGAGATTCCAAAATACAACAAAACTTTGATAACACTCAAAAGGTATGCTGAATTCGATTAAAGTATATTATACGTCGTATTTTTCTCAGTAAGACGAATAGCAATGCATTGTACAAGGTAGAAGCATACCAAATTCTCGAGCAAGATAGGTAGTAACTGTGCTGCTTTGCCATAATATTTTACCGTCGACTTCCAATATTGGTAGTTGTCAACAAAGAGCTTTACAATCTACAATTTTAATTAAAAATTTACTAAGGGTTAAAACAATTGTCATTGTGTAAACAATAGATAAAAATGGTAGATAAACAAATTTAAATTTTACCAAGCACAGTTATCGTGATTTCATACATAGTGCTCGAAAATTTTAAGATGATCTGTTAAAGTCATAGTTCGTATCGGAATTTTAACTAATTTACGTACACAGATGTTCTTAAACCACACTTTCAGAGTTCTTAGTGAGCAACAATTATAGTGTTGACGAACTGGCAGACAATGTTAAGGTCATCACTGTTATGACTACAAACTACAGTTACTACAGAGCTAAAGTATGAATAGAACATTAGCAATTCATAACTTAATTTTAAGATTACCAACGAGCATAATCACAGGGAGAACTTTACTCAAGTAATCCGTAACTTAATTTTAAAGTCATTTGGGTTGCTAATGTAGCTGGTGTTCATGCGGTAGTGCCGTCTTAAAATGCTCAACTTGATACTGTATCCAGATTCATTTGAGGATTTAAGAATCTCGTAAAGATTTTACTGTAAATATACTGTTATAGCAATTATAATTATCATTTGACAACATCATTCAATCGTTAAAGAACAAACAAATTTCTTAGAAGCTTCAACTATAAGTTAGGGAGATTGGTTGTAGTATAAGTTAGGAATTGCAATACAAATTACCAGTTCTAAAGGAAAACAAAAGCGCTGCAACTTTACTGCATGTTTAGAAATCTGTTTCCGGGCGCTTTTCTCTCCAAGCTTTAATTTTGGGAATGTTAGCTATGCGATCGAACAGCTCATCCAAAGCAGGGGCACTTTTAAAGATATCTTTGTCAAGCATTTGGAGGGTCTCGCCAGCGAAAAGAAAATGTAAATCGCCAAGGGTCAGCTAAAAGTAAAATGCAATAACGGTAAGAATAAGTTGATAACGATTACACAGTATATATCTGTAAATTATAGCTTGGAGCTATCTCACATGTATTACTTAGTACTTACTGAGTCACCAACGAAAAAACTGGTACCACCTTCCTTATATACTTTTTCAACAGCACTTAACCATGAAGGAAGAAAATTTTCAGAGAAATCTTTCTGTTTTTCGGCCTGTAAAAAAATGGCACCGGATGCGTAAAAACATATTAACTTTCTACAGTTGACAAACTATTACATGAGTCACTGCATATTACTACGTGCTTAGAATAGTTTCTGTACTTTCCACAAATAACAAGAAGGTAATAAATAGATAATAACTTAAACCATCATAAAACATTGATTAAGATATCTAACGATAACTGCCCAGTAAATACCAGTTACTAGTAAATGCATTACATTGAATACAGTACTGTATTGTATGCCATATCATGATCATATTATAAATCTACCATGCTGAAGTCTTACCTTTTTAGTTTCTTCGTCCGTGTAGTAGTGAATATCAATAAGCTTAGCTATCAAATCATTAACAGCTCCTTGAACGACGTAAACTCTGTATTCATCCCAACTAGTTTTACCAGTTAATCCTACAATATAACATATTATTACATCAGGTATTCAGATGATGAAGGTTTATCTAGCTATATCCGTTGCATTAATAAATCGATTTAACAAAGCAAAATAAACTTGACAATCTTTTTGTGTGCCTTTGTCGTTGTAAAACTCGAAACATAAGTATAATTGTACAAGATCAATGCGAGTTATGTTTAATTAAAGCCGTAACTAAGGAGTAATAAGCGTACAAGTGTATAGTAATAACATCCTACAATTAACTATAAGAAATAGATAAATAATTATAGTGTAAGACGAGTAGCAATTAGATTTACTCGTATATCTTAAGTACTTATACAGTATTATCAATGCCTACCAAATTCTCGAGCAAGATAGACTGCAATTGCGTCACTTTGGCACAGTACTTTATCATCAACTTCTAATATCGGAAGTTGTCCAAAAGGAGCCTTAATGTCTGCAGTTTAGATTAAAACTTTTCAATCATTTTCATCGTAAATAATTGTTTATATTATGTAGTTATTATATTTTTACATAGTTAAAAAGTACAGTAGGAAAACTATGTCAATTTCTGACAGATTACCACTAATGGTAAAATTGACAATTGTATAGAAGCGATAAAAGGAAATAGAGTAATTTTATTTCGCTGTCTCGACAGCATTAAAGCTGTAGTACTACGATTGTGTAGATTGCGTACAGCTAGAGAGATTAGGATACATACAGAATTTCTTTGCACTACATTCTATTTCTAGATTGAAGCTGGATTGATTTTGGGGGCAAAATTAGCAATGTTTAAAAATATATTACAGCACCAACCACTTTTTATCTCTCTCCATTCTTCCGAAGTAACGCGAACATCTTGATAAGGGACATCAGCTAAAACAAATAAATAACGAATAACTTCGCCACGGCCTCGAGCGTCAAAGTACGTTAAACGGTAGCTGGGCATTGTGAAATCAATTTGTAAAAGTTCTGATAAAGACTAGTAGACGCTGTTTGCTGTAAACAGGGGAGATATCGAAGTAGTTTTGACGTAAAGTACTTGAAATTTTCTTGTCTGACCTATCCTCAAACTATCAACATTGATGTATAATTTGTCTCGCTGATGAGAATTGTGATGTTCTTTTAGATTAGGCGTAGACTGACCAATGCGACCATTCTGTACAATACCCCTCCCCTCTAAAAGTAAACAGTTTTTCAGCGCGAGTTTTATTCTTACGGAGCAGCTGCAGTCCATCCTACTGTACTGGACAGTACTATAGAATTTTATACGATTACGTATTGCGATTTGCCCCCTGCTGCAAACTGGAGCCCAAATTTTGCCAAAGTATCGAGCATTTTTCGCTATAATTCATCATGTAACATGGTAAATATGATTGCACTCAGTCAATCACCACAGTGTAGTTATACACGCTATCACTTTGCTTCAACTAGGACTGTGAGCTAGTAGTACTATTCTGTACACTGTACAGAATACAGTATCGTATAAAATGCAGACTTAAAAATCCTTTTCATAAGCTGATAGCACCGTCTTAACCGAGGTTATTTGAGCATTGCTGCGCAGCAGCTACAGACTTCAACAGTTCGACATGACACCTTATTTCAGTTGTTTCCATACAAAGCGTCAAAAATTTTTGTAATGGTTTCCAATCGAACTTATTTCACCTTTAAACAATTTTATATCAGTGGTACTTTGTTTAAGTGAAGCATGGCTGTTCTCTCTAGCACACTATACCCAGTAAACTACAATGTGTTTCTAAACCCGACGCGATCGTGTAATCAAGTCCTCTTTCACACTTTACATTTGATGATGTATTGCTGTTTATTTACTCGCAAATTTTTGCTGGCTATGTAATAGTGCCTAATACAAAATCACATAAAGATATTACTTTACGTTACCAAAGGTAATAAATATACTATCTAGCAGCTATCCATTAATACGGGCAACCTTACTAAAGAGATTTCAAAATGCAACAAAACTATGATAACCCTCAAAAGGTATGCTGAATTCGATTAAAGCATATACGAGTGTCTTTCTCAGCATACCAATAACCAATAAGCTGTGGAAAATTGATTATTGCATAGTTTAAAAATTGAATTTACCCTACATAACTATCATCCTCTAGGAAAATAGTAGACACTATTACGAAACAGCTTCTTTAGAAATCTGTTTTCGGGCGCTTTTCTCTCCACGCTTTAAGCTCGGAATTATTAGCTATACGATTATACAATCCATCCAAACCGGGGCAAGATTTAAAGACCTGCTCGTTAACGCCTTTAAGGCTCTCACCAGCGAAGAAAAAGTATAAATCGCCAAGAGTTATCTTGAAAAGAAAAACATGTAATACTTAGAATATGTTTACAGCAATTCCGTTCTCCATGTGTGCATAACATAAGCATAATGAAAAATTATAAGTTATAGAATCATGGCTTCCCTAGGACTTACTGAGTCACCAGCGAAAAAACTGGTACCGCCTTCCTGATATATTTTTTCAACAGCAACTAACCAAACTGGCAAAAATTCTTCACTTAAAGTTTTCTGTTTTTTGGCCTGTACACATGATATCATGGAAAAGAATGTCGAAATTTAGAAACATTTAATCGAATTACTGGAAATTATTACATGCTTAGAGCTATCTATGCATTATACAGGAATACCGATAAAGTAATAAAATCTTCGTTGAGATAGAATACATTAAGGATGCATAAAGTATCAGTTGCTAAGAAATGTAGTACAGTACAGTTTTGCATAATGTTAAAAAGGAATTGCATCACACATTAACACCTAACCTTTATCGTTTCATCTTTTTCAAAGTGAATTTCGACAAACTTAGTCATCAAATCACCAACAGCTGCTTGAATAGCGGAAATTCTGTATTGGTCCATGTTCGTTTTACCGGCCAAATCTACAATACAGTATGGCATGCATACATCCACATTCGATATATCAAGTTAATGAAGGTTTATCTAGTCAAATCAACTGTATAAATGAGCAGAATAAATCTATAATTTTTTGATACGTCCTTATACGCGTATATGTAGTATTTGTAAATTCATAACATGCAGATATATAGTATAGCAGCAACTTTAGTAGTGCCGCATTATTCCTTATAATTCTTATGACTACATTGGATTCATAAGACGAGTAGCAGCAATACGTTGTACAAGGTAGAAGCATACCAAATTCTCGAGCAAGATAGGCAGCAATTGCGTTGCTTTGGCACAATACTTTGTCATCAACTTCTAATATTGGCAGTTGTCCAAAAGGAGTCTTACCATCTACAATTTAGATTAAGAATTTATTTTACTAATTTTCACGATAAATAAATAAATTTCAATTATAAATTTTAGGAAGCACAGTTGTCGTGATTTCGTGCACAGTGTTTGAAAAGTTTCAATTTACAGATGATCGATTAAAATTATAGTTCGTATCGGAATTTTAACTATTTGTAATAAAATCTAAAAGTAATCATTATAATTTCCTTTTTTAGCACTTCAAAATATAAGGAGAATGACTACAATGCAGTCTTTGCAAGAACCGATAGCATTGCAAATTCAACTTTGTTTTAAAAGACGTACAACATTTTGTAATTGGAGAAAAGTGAGAAAGGTACAGTAATTGATTTGCAGTTGTTGGCAAAATTGTTTGTATATTGTAGTGGAGTGGCAAAAAAGTAAGTAAAATGAGAAAGGCCGAGGAAGGCCAATCGCCGCCCACTATCACTTCATAGAAAAGAGAGACCCGATAGACCTGATGAACTTGACGTACTGTATTTCCAAAATTGATCTACCGTAATTGCATAAGCTGTAGTGTCGACTACAGCAATCCTACTAATATAGAGTACATTACAATACGTTCTATAACATCATATTTCTTTACTTTGAGTAGTAGATCGATTTTAAAACGGGCCGCGCTAGAAGGAGTTGCTGATATTTCAAGTCAACTAGTTGGAACAGCTAAAAGCTTCGATCAACATCTCTTTTACTTTACGTATCAAGGCAATCAATACTAACCGGCTTTCATCTTTCCCCATTCTTCCGAAGTAATACGATTATCTTCATAGGCGACGCCAGCTACAGCGAATAGGTAGCGAATAATTTCACCACGACCACGAAGGTTAAAATAGGACAATTTGTAGCTCGGCATGACGAGATGGAGAAGATTGATTCAGACTAAATACTGTCAATTATTGAACGTGTTAATAGCTCTAGCAAATGCAGGCCGAAATGGAATAATGAAAGGTTCAAGTCGGTATTTATTTGACTTTGACTGAAGATAGTACTGTACAGTGTACAGTACATTGTACTGCACATTGCTGTACTGTGGGCCGTAAACAGCATGACAGTGCAATTACTTGTACAGCCAACGTGTCATGTTATATCATTATGAGGTGAAAAGTATGACGCGTATTTGTTGTTGTTCTTATTATGACAGTAACCTCCATGGTTTGACCTTAATGTTTTGGGGTATCAAAACGCTGAGTCGTGCTCAAGACGGGTCACATGACAATCAGCAGCGTGCTCTCATTGGCCACTCCACAAGATAATGGTTGTCTTGCGCTTGCATATGCTTTCTGTACCAATCTCACGCACTCCAAAAAGCTTTCGCGATTTGCAAATGACCTAAATTGCGAATTTGACATTGGAGTCTGAACTAGACGTCTGGCTGATACTGTACCTCAGGGTCTCAAAGCTTTCACGATTTGCAAATAACCTGATTGATGAATTGGACGTTTGAGTTTGAATTCGGCATCTGGCTGATACTGTACAGTATGATTCTGTACTCACTGTTAACTTCAGCCTTAATCATCAGACGAATGTACATACAGTACAATATCAGTCATTACGTCGATCTTTCTAGAAAAGTCAGGAGTATTACCTGGAGTGTACGTACGTATAGTGGACACTGTTATCTACATAGCACCATTATGCTATGATCAATAAATAGTTAATTGATGGTTAGTATATCCCTGTCGTAAACGAGTTCCTAAGTTCTATGGAAGACATGATGTCCAAAATTCTTATTTTATCAACATTGATGTGTTCATACTGTCTGTTAGCTGCTTGGTTGATTTTGTACAGTATGGTATACGCTTTCAGTCATAACGTCGAGTGGAAATGACTAGAAAATGATAGACTGCCGAATTTATTTTCCATATCCCCTACCCAGTACTATACTGTACAGTACAGTACATCATACAGTCATGATGAATATTTACTCTACGTTTCGGGTTCAGTAAACACGAAGGCAGATAGGTTAATGAGGTTTATTATAAGACAAACCGAGAATACAGAGACAGTTACAGTACAAAATCAGGGAATATAACAGCTAAGAAGCTTAAAGAGAGAGATGTACACAGCTAAAGAGCACTATTATAATTAAAGATACTCCGGAGGATAGCATCTTATACAGTACTGAAGAAAGATTTATCCTCAAGATTCGATTCGATTCAATGATTTTACTAATACAAGTACAGTACAGTGTACAGTATTTGTTACAATACGTACTGTACACTGTACACTGTAGCTCTAGAGTGAAGCCAGTCATGCGTAGTCTACGTTACGCAGTGTTCCTCCATTTTTCGTGAAAATGTCGACAATCTTTCGTGTCGTCAAGTTAACAAGATTTACTGGGTTTTCCAACTCAGCCTATGCAATTCGCAATTCTCAATTAAAAACTCGACTGGTTCCAGCTCGCAATGTAACCTCAAGAAGTCGTGTCAGTACTCTTAAAAGAGCTGTTCGTAGAACTAAAATTGCGTCTGAAGAGAGCGCTTTTGCGTCATGTAAGTGATACGTAGGCTGGTTGATTTTCTATCTATCGATAGAAAAGAAAACGGAATTAATTTACTCTTGTTCGTCATTTTATGTACCTTTGCATCCATTTTCCTGATCATCCGTTGAATCGCTTAACATGGTGAATGAATAGCTACCAGTGATCATAAACTCATAACAATTCATAGCCCTGAAGTACTATAAACTACCACAGATGGACACAACGTTTGTTGTCTGATCTCTTGGCCAATCGTCATTTCCCACTGAACATTTACTTGTTATTATCAATACGTGCGGAACGTAGTAACCCAAAGTAAATGTATAATTTAAACAAAATCGAAATACATTCATTTTCGGGATTTTACTATTTAATGTAGTTCTACAACCTGCCTGGGATGGATGCCTGATCAAATGATATCTCGCATACGTCGTATAGTATGTACTGTACAGAACACTTCATGAAGCCGCAATATTACGTCATCCATACTCCATTTATACTTCATGGACTGTGTTAGTAGAAAAGTACAGAAATTATCAATAGTAATCTGATGTAGTGTCCATATCTTATTATAAGTTAAGTAGACTGGGCTGGAAGCTGGAAATCCTAAAATCGCTGGTAAAATTTAAAAAAATATCCGTACAAGAAATGTATGAAACAGAACGTCTTTTATTGATATCAACTTGTTGAATTTCCATACTCATTTACTCTTCATATTTAGTAGCTTACTACTGCACCCGTTAAAAAATAATGGATAATTATAACGCCTATACTATTGATGATCGAATAGTACTAACTTCTCTTTCCTTCAATCTAGCTGGAAAGTATGGACTATTGGCAGTGGCAGGTGCCAGCGCAGCAGGTATTGGAGCATTATGCTACTACGGACTGGGATTATCAAATCAGATTGGAGCAATCGATAAAATGGCGTAAGTCCTTAGACCTACATTAGTTCACAATAAGTATGTAAACGGTCTAGCATACCATACTATAAATTGCCAAATTAATCAAGTAATCCGTATCATGGTCTTGTCTCTCTATCGATAACTAATTTTATACGTAAGGTAATTTATATGTATCCCAACCGGCTTATTGTTTACAGAGTATAATATTATATCAGTGATAAGATGCAGAACTGCGTTTATTGAGCACTGCATTTATTACAGAATGCTACTACAATTACGTCCTTTATAGTTTTAGTTATTAGTAATAAAGAATAAATGGTTCAATTCAAAACTAACTATAGTATACCCGTATATACGTACTGGACACTTTTTACTGGGAATTATATTCGATAGTGTACTGCATTTAAGCCACAGAAGAAAAGTACGACCGTCGGAATTTAGTATTCTGTATATTAAATCTTGATAGGATTTTAGTTTTTTACACCTTATAGAATAATAATCAGTTGATGTTAGACATCCAGTAAATTATTTTAAAAATATTTAAAACATTCCAACGTTTTACTATGACCAGGATTTGGCCGCAATATGTTCGTGATCGTATTAAGGCTAGCTACGGCCACTTGATGGTTGGACTAGGAGTAACAGCAGCATCTGCTGCATCACTGTACCGGACGAGATTCGCATACAAATTTATGACAGCAAACCCACTCTTGGTAAGATTACCGTAACAATTATGTACAGTAGTTAATTAGACGTTTAAACTAGCTAATCGTACCATTGGTACTTAGTACACTACCTTGAACATTTCTGTTAACTGCTTCCCAATAGTAGACACTAGGAAATCAACTTATTGTGTTAAAAGTATAATATTTTTGTATAGTTTTTATAAGATTTTTTTCAAGTTCGTCTCACTGATAGTTGCCGTATAGTGTAGATTCATAGAAAAACGCTATAATGCATTTATTCTATATGTCCTTTCTAATTCTTACTGTAGGCTATCGGTGGCAGCTTAGCTGCAATGATTGGCACCGCTTATATATGCCAATCGATGCCATACCAGGAAGGACTATTGAATACCAAACATCTTGCTTGGCTTGTTCATACTGGTACTATAGGATTTGTGCTTTCTCCACTAATGTTCATGGGTGGACCTTTGTTAATGCGCGCAGCCGCTATAACAGGCGGTGTAGTAGGTGGCTTATCCATGATCGCTGCCTGTGCGCCGAGCGAAAAATTCTTGACTTGGGGTGGCCCACTTGGCTTGGCTTTAGGAGGCGTTTGCATGGCATCGATTGGTAGGGCGACATATATATATATATATTGAAATTATAAAGCGATACCTTAAATGTGTACAGTAGACTAACATGCGACGAGTTTACATATTTTTACCATTGCATCATGTTATTTTAGGCTCTGCTTTCATCCCTGCAACTGGCATGCTTGGCGCTGGCTTGTATTCTATTTCATTATACGGTGGGTTACTCGTATTTGGTGGATTACTTCTTTACGATACACAAAAACTGGTCAAAAAGGCCGAGACACACTCTTTATATCATCCGGTCAAATATGATCCTATCAATGAGTACGTAAAATTTAAATCGTGTTTTAATACGTCCTACTTGTACTATTGTTGATCGGCAATTTTTTAAATGTGAATAGGTCAATCGGTGTTTACATGGATATCATCAATATCTTTATACGCATTGCAACAATCTTAGCTGCTGGTGGCGGCTCTAGAAGACGATAGTTAAGCTAATATAAGCTTCTAATTGTACGCTTAACCTTACTGTTAAATTACTTGTATTATATACTCCTCATATAACGCCTTGAGCTATTAAATTGAGCTTCTAATTATATGGCTGAAATACTTTCAAAATTGGATTCTTATGTTTACGCGCAAGCTCTACTCTATATCAAGAAATGAATAGTATATCAGCACTACCTTCGATTTTGTTTGTCATCGCTTACAAATATTTAGCTAAAAAATTAAAGTTTTGCTTGACGTGAAATATTTGTAGCAATATCATAAATTGCATGTATAGTGCTGTAATGATGATTTACGTTTTGACTTTTAATAAAGTAACAAATGATTAATAAAATAGTGAAATGCGAATTTTTTTGGCTTTGATAATATAATAGTACCATTTTTGATCGAACAAAAAGTGTAACAAAGAATCGATATAGGAGGAATAACTTTAGCATTGGACAAAGATGTGTAGCAATTAGATGCAATTCTAAGTAACTTCTGAAATTATGTTCGATAATGTTAGGAGCATATTTGTTCCTTAAAAATTAATTGTGTGGTACAGTATAAGTAGAGACAAGGCTGAGCTCATCATCTATTTGCTCTGTAATTTTTGGCATTGAAGTGGAAAATAGAGGATCACTGCATCCCTAAAATTGGCTTACTTAAAGTAGAATGTAAAGTGTACAGAGAGATGCTTAGATTTCTCTGATAAATCATCATCTCTATTTATAAATTATGGAACAGATTATTTCTGCATCAGAATATCGATTAAGTTGCTGTCATGATCTGATCACGATTTTGCTGTTCCATATCTTTTCTATAGTTTCTAAAACGTTATTGAAGTCTAGTAAATAAGCAATATTTAAATAGCAATGATCATTTCTGCAGTACCAGATAAGACGTTATCCTATTGTGAGCTACAACTCAATCAAGTACAAAGAGGTCTGCTCCGCAATTCTTTACCAATATTTATTCAGCTATTCTATCTCAATCCAGAGGGCAACAACATCGAGAAAGCTACGAAATAAAATTAATTAATTAATTATACACCAATTTTTAAAAAGAAAAAAAGTATACCCGAATGGGCTCAGACGGGAATCGAACCCGTGACCTCGCGCACCCAAAGCGCGAATCATGCCACTAGACCACTGAGCCACTTCTTCCAATACCGTTATTTTTTACGTATTTGAATCATTTTTATGAAAAATGACTCAATTCAATTGATACACCGTTAACTATAGCTTAGCAACTAGCGATACGCAATCAACTGCCATTTTCTATATTCTAAAGCGTATATAAATTCCTTTCGACGTACTAGCGATAGATACATACGAATAGTGAACAGTATTTAAGTCTGTTTGACGTAAATCATCAACATCAATGCGTTATTTACGAAAATTTGAGTAAATAATAACTGTTATGATCGAATTGGCTTAGATAGCTCAACATTGTAACCACCATTATAATTCTTAGTATGGCATCGTTGTTAGCCAATTTATTTGTCTGGAGTCAGCGCTGTTTAGCATCTAGTAAGTCAATTTTGATAATATTCTTCAAACTGCGATAACTTAAATTACTTTGATTGATACATTTTCTACATCGAAAGCTGGAAATCGTAATCACAAATTAATTAGTGTACAGTGTACGATCTGTATACCAACAAAACCGAATAGTATTTTGTTAATCTGAGAACTAATAGTTTCTGTATATTTGCGTAGCTTTCATCAGATGGATTACTATTTCGTATACATCGTCAATTACAGTGAAAGTGTATCCTTAATACAGTCGAGATAAATCTTCAAAATACGGTTCTGTTAACTATGAGTAATAACTTTGATTCTAGTAATCATGATATTTTTAGTAACGAAGAAATAGGGCACACAGTAGAATAGAGTGCTTGCAATAAAGCTACTTATTAGTCAAGCCGAAAATGATAACTATGATAGAAAAGATACTTTGATTAGAGCATTATTTCTGGTCGATAACTCACAGCGGTGTTTACATCATCAATTCATTATAGGCCTTACGACAGGGATTCATTATTATCATGATAAGAGCTCAGGTAAAGATTTATCAGATATTAATATCTTCAAATAATTAGGACTGATAATAAAATTGCAGTCATTTGAAAATACCGGAGCATCAAGAATCGTATAACGTTAATGATGATTAAATAGCCTACTAAAAGTATTGGATACTGATAGTTATAGTTTTCATACCACAAGGTGTTTCATCTTGTAGCATTCCCAACTTTGCAGTTGCGGCGCTAATTGGATAAGATAATTCTTCGAATTAAATATTCTTATCCTTTAAAATAGAAACAATTTACTGAATCTACTGTAAAGTAAACCTTTCTAGAGTAAAGATTATCTAGGATGGCTTCACTATTAATTAATGCCAATCTGCCAGTTTAAAAACTAGAGTTACTTCTGATCGTCGATCATCTGTAGCTTAATCATTACTCACATGTAAAGAAGGCCTAGTCGATATTTCAGCTTGCGTTTAATCTATACATAAATATATCAAAAATATATTACTATGATAATTGAATGTTACTTAATAATTATGTATCACTCCCGCTAAAGGTCAATCAGATGAATCGTATCTGGATTATAGAAGGCATTGGGCAGAGAGTAAGAACCGTTGGCTTAATTAAAATAATTGAGAAATTATTATCTACTTAAACTCGCATATACATACTTCACGTCTATCTACCTGTGAAAATGATTGATTTGGTCTTACTGTAAATGTAGGTCGAGACATAACCTGGTTTCTTAAAAGTCAGGGGAAAAAAATCAGAGATCACTTAAGAGAATCACTGGTAAAAACCTTTTAAATATTTGCTTATATTATTATTTGCTTGCGTCAAGTGGATTATTTATCAGTTATAACACAATCAGAAAGCCAACTGCTAGTTAATCAGAAGAGATGAATGTTGAGCGAGTACAACGAGACGCGAGCACAGGAAACCTGAATTATCATATATATCCATTACCTATATTCGTAGATTTTTCTTGAGTAATAAAAAGCTAGAGCCTTATATTTAACTTAATAATTGTATCATATAGTACATGGAAAGTCATCATGGCAATACATTAAAACAAGTCTAGTTACGATCATATATTATATGATGAATGGCCTGCAAATGATCATGCTATTATGGTTTATCGATATTTTTCATTGTTTTGTAGGAACTCATGGCAAACCATCAACCCGTTCACGTTCATTGGAGAAGCGATCATCTAATTTTAGTAAGTTAAAGCGGTATTAATATTAATTACAAACAATCCATACAATCGATTTGAATATTACCTATATTCACTTATGCTATAAATGCATAGCTAAATTACTTTGCAATTATTTAACATTTGCAAAGTTTATTATTTAGATTGATTTAAACATTTCATTTATTGATACTATAACGAAGAATAATAAATAAGTGGTTAATTCAACCGGACTAGTAGTAAAAATATTTTTATTACTTTATGATTAGCAAATTCTAATTGTTAATCTTTCTTTATTTTTATGACAATTTACTCAACATGGATTCTAGGTAATCTTGAGCAATGGGATTATGATATCGTTCTTAACTGCTCAACATTGCCCTGATGTTGAACAGATTTTAATCGATAAAACCTTAGTCAGTAAATTACATGGAGACCAAATAAGCGATGGTAGGTGATAATAGTCGTAATTACTAATACAGAATGCTTACCAGCGTATGGCTACGCTACCAAAAGCAGTATCGTAAGTGTAATGATGACATCTTTAACACACAGATTTATTTATTATTATACTTTAGTTAGCATTGGAAATGATTATTTGCTAATTCTACACGTCGATAAATCGAAGTTAACACTGGTACTTCACAAGTGTGTAACTGAGATGAAAAAACTTGAAAAATTATCAGCATTTGATCCCAAGGTAATAAAAGCATTAACTCATACTCAATTAACTTGATTGACATAGATTAATATCATTTTGTACATTAGTCGTTCGTTATAAATAACACATATGTTATACATTCGTCTAATCCAATTTTCTCAAGTGCCAATTCCTATCTCAAGATTATAATCCGGGAAAACCAGCCGGAGTAAAACCCAAACTATCTGTGAATGTGACTAAAGACCGGGTAATTCTAACAAAGGCATAATAAGCATCTTATTTCCAATACTATACGCTAGTTTGTAAGAAACTTAGATATAATAAACTCCTTAATGTTAAAAATGTATTTGTGATGGATTTTATCAAATAGTTTATAGTATGGTGGCCATCTCCCGACTATAATTCTCGAGCTCATAACGATGTTACCACACATCAAGAGAACATAATTGCAGGCTCCATTAATAGGTACAATAGATTGTAATGTTAGCACTATTCATTACATAAATATTTTACAATGGAACTGATCAAGAGAACATATAACTCTTAATCAGATCTTCTCAGCCTCCGATACAAATTACTCGTACGTATCGAACTATTGGTAATCCTCTGAGTGTATATTTTAGGTATGTTAGCTAGCGATTCCGTATTTTTATATCCATAAATCTTATTGTTTTAGTTTTATGTTTTTAAAGGATGAAATTACATGCTTAGTATTACGCATCGAATTCATGTTTGACTTGATAAATAATCTGACGAAGGAATATTCTAATTTAGTGCTGTAAAATTTGATCAATTTATCACAATGGAAACACAAGCTGATGAAAATATTATAGAACGACATATAAATGACCTTAGTAAGGACGAGGTAAGATATATTACCTAGGATAGGGAAAATGTATGAATTATCCTTCATTTAATATTGATCAATTTATCTGTCTCGAATCTAAATCTTATTCTAGGAAAATTTTTCAGTCTCAAATAAAATTTCTGTTCCCGGTAATGCACGTTTATCAAATATTATATTAGATTACTGTGAGTACCATCCTGGGCAAGCATATTTTAACAATTCTTATATAGGTTTTGTTACTTGCTGTCAACCCAATCATGCAGAAGACAAATTTATTATTGGTTGTAATGACGGAACTATCGTAAGATTTACTTATTTATGCAATATTATATGATATTAAATTTCAGCATATAATGAAAAGTTTTTCTAACGAACTTGTTACAGGTATGTTATGATGAAAATTGTGAAAGCAAATCGGCAACAAAATCTGCTGTGGTAAGGTTATATCTGAGATAATTCCAAAATAGACTTATAGACCTACTCTAAGGCTTATAACATGCTATTTTATAACGATTAAAATGCCATATTGAAAAATTTACGATTAAATTATAAGGATCATCCAATTTATATCCAGTGGCACTGGGACGATACAATTTTTATAGTGGCCAATGATGCCGGCGATTTTCAGGTTTACATACGAGTTAATTGTCAATTTATACTATGATAATTCAGCTTTATCTGCTTGATCCTTCTTAGTAGAAAAGTTGCCTATGTGCCATATTGTGGATTGCTGTAACTATTTGGAAATAGCTTGATTTCAAATATAATATTTGCTTTACTTTGACTTATGCGTATAAAATTTATAGTGGCAATTAATGGTTAAAAAAATATAAGAATCGATCATAAATATTTCTAATCAAATTCTACAAATCTATCTTAATCATCACCATACTCCATTTATAATATTACAAATAAACTTAACCTCTGCTGTAGAGCCTAATATAATTACTGTACTATATTATTAATGAACAGCAATTATATACTTTGATCTATTCGCTAACATCAGTTATTTTTTAGCTATTCGATATAGCCCTATCCGAATTTCCAATTCATATGTTAACTGAGGAACCAATGAAACTGAATCATTTAGATCTTGCTAAGTATTTGGTGTAAGTCAACTTGAATTAAGTTAACTGATAACAATCTCACTAAGACTGGCTTAAATTTAAGGGCACTTGCCGATGCTTTTATTTTAAATGTGTATTATGGCGACTAAATTGTTTGCTATCGGCTACTGTGTTCAATAGGCCTCCAGTCCATCTTGTATCCGTTACATGGTCACCAGATACAAGTTTACTTGGTCAAGGAAATGAGCGTTTTAAATCTTACATTGATATTGCTCTTGTTCTATCAAAGTATAACTCTCATAATTTTACCCAGTTCGATTCTCCTAAATATAATCCTGTCATTAAAGCTACGCAATTTTAACTTTTATATGTAAAATATTTGTTAATAGAGGACCAATTGCCATTTTACGGCTAGAAATTGGGGTTTTTAATAATGGACGTCTAGGACCTATCGAAATTACAAATGAGTATCTAAAACAAAATCAATATGAAGAGGTATTTATCTAACGGCTTGCATTTAAGAAAAAATTGGATTACACTATAACTTATAGATGCAATTATTGTAATAATTTCTTTCTAAATATATAAATACACCGTTATAGGCCGTCAGCATATTATCCAATCTTGACTGGAATAGAGAAGGTCACATATGCTTTTCATGTTTGATGGCTATCTGTAATGAGATATTTAAGAACGATTTGGACGAAGACAGTGAATGTAAGGATATTCACTTAAAATCTGTTTCTAGTTTATTTCATAATTACTGTATTATAAACTTTAATTATGGTATCTATTTCTCAATATTTGATAAAGCTGATATAATTATCCTAAATTATTTTATAGTACTAATTGACAGCGCAATCGGTACCTTTTATAATCCAAAGCAAACTTTACATGTAAAAATTGCTGACGAATTTAAACAAATTGTAGAAGGACTACTACAACGCTTATTCGACAATTTTATTAGGTACTATTCATTTTAAACTAAATAAATTAAATTTAATATAATAATTACTATTGGAACATTAAGCTCTATCAAATCCTTTAACAATACCATTAACGCCGATCTACTGTTAGACGAAAAAGTTTTGAAAAAGCGTTCTACGTAGCCGATCGGTTAGAAAACAGAGAATTATTTATGGTAAGCACTACTACAGTTATTGGTGGCAATTTGTATTGACAGTAATTTCTGTAATTGCGTAAAGATATATAGCAAAGACAGAATTCTAATCAAAAAAGCTTATAGTTAATGCTTTTTTATGACGATAAAAGGCTAATCAAGCTAAAAGTAAAAGAATATATATCTTCATAGGATCTGTACTACGTAGCTATGGATTACAATGAATTAACACTGGCTTATGCAGCGAAAGCTAAAGCAGACGAAATCAATTCTAGAATTTTAAGCGACGGTTATTCTATAACTTGTTAAAATTCTAACTTATCACTTTTAAGGCGTAAATGCTATCGTGCTTAAACAGAATATTCTCCATTATAGAAAACGTGGATAATTCTGATGCAGTCACCGAAGACACATCGCGAAACTTTGAACTATTGAATGCAGAAGCTAAACGAATAAGGGATGGAGGTTAGTAAAGTGATAGCAAATTTATCTATGACTTTAGCATTCTTATTTGCTCTGGGATATTTTAAAATGTACAGTAGGAATTTGAATAATTATAATTGAGCATCACTAACTCATATAACTTATATCATGCATTTCAGAAATTCCCGATCAAATGGTACGTGACAGAAACTGCCTTAATGCAATTCGACAGTTTATATGTACTCAATATAGCTTTTACGTTCTTGAAACGTTCTCGAGTCAGATTTCAATTAGAATACCAATAGACATTGCTTTAAAATTATTCTTATATTGTTGCTTTCTTTTACCTGCTACTAGAAACCACAAGCAAGTTCTATTGTACATTTTGGGATATCGTAAAATTGCAGATATTGTCATATCTGTATCAGCATTTATAGTTTCATGATACAGACAAAAACCTTGATGGATAATTATGAAAACTATTATGTAAATATGCATTTCATAACTTTTTATTATATCATCAACTTGGATATTAAAAATTCAGATCTTATCACTTTTCATTTATGCATGATATATGACAAACAAACAAACTTCACATTTCGCGTAGATCGTTATTCATTTTATTCTGGCTTCCGTAGTAATAGATGAGGGTGTGATGTATAAACACTAAAAACTATGCATGCAAGTAAAATTTGGTTTTACCTCTTTTCATAGTGTCGAAATTATTAACATCTGCTTGAAAGAATATACCGGAGATACAAGATAACCTCTTAAATTTGATACCATATCTGATACTAATAAAACAGTATCTGTCAATTCAAAATATGATTTCCAAAAAAATTATATGTACATTTAAAATAACAGCTACGAATTCAATTGCCTAGTATACATCATTCGCTCATTGCTGAGCAGCACCATTATGATGAAAGTGCAAACGCTCACTAACTGATTACAGATCGGGTTAAATATTTGCAATCGTGGCCTTTTTCTTTTTGCTTCGTCCCTTTACGTCGCGGGATTTCCTCTTTTGCTTAATTGTTTCATCATTCTTCCCATCGTAATTTCCCTTCGTTGATATAACAGTGAACATTACTTGCCTGTGCTTTATAACTGAAGATTTACTTTTGAGCAATAGCACCGTAATATTAGATGACTTACATTCACAGTAGTAGGCTGTCTTTTACTAGTTAGAACGGTATCCGAAGCGTCATTTTTCAAACTTTCCATTGCGTCCAATGTAGCTGTATTCGCATCTACAGTATCACTTGCACCATTCTCGAGTGTTTCAGTTAACTTATTTTCTGGTATTTCCTTGACTGTAAGATCAGTGACTTCCATTTTCGTGATATCATTACTAATACGATCGATAATAAAACGATTTACATACAAGGTGGAAAAAAATATGAACCTAAACTTTTGTACAGCTTGTTTAAACTGCACTATCATATATTTCCCTACCCGTTAGTAAGTGAAAATGTTGCTGAATTCATACACTGTAAGGTATATTCTATGAAATAGCTTTGCTACAGAAATCAAAACGCAAAGATAAAATTTAATTTTATGCATACTAAAATACACCAGGTTAGCTACTACGATAACGAAGATTACCTCTAACAGTCGCTCGAGCCTTTGATAATGACGTTCTATCAATTTGAGAAAATTCTTAGTATTATACTCGTAATAAGATATAGCAAATAGCAGTACACTCTAAATTCGATGCCGTTCGTTGAATTACCTGTATATGGTATAAGCGCTTCTAAAGTGGTCTGCATGCTTGGCATTTTAATTAAATCCTCAGGTATCGTATTCTTAAGAATTATAGATAAAACTAAATAATAAAATGAAATAATAAGGATAACATTAGTTACCGTCAATGAAGGAACATTTTGGCATTTATGATGAAGGAGAGACAAACTAACCAATTTGAGCAGCCCTTGAATGCTTAGCATTAGTATTCCAAGTCGACAAATACTGGAATATTGTATTTACGTGCTTCTTATCTAATTTTTGAATAACGTTATCGATACTTTCCAGACCGTCCGGTTGATCGAGAATAGCTGAGATATAAAATAAAATTAAATCTTAAACATTTCATATTCTTCTAATAGGTTTCAAGATTGCATCTACTTCCACCTACTTTTGACAACTGTCAAGGTTAGGAAGGGTTTTTCTAAACCAATAGCCATATTGAGAGCTTCTGTAAATTTCTTAGCATGCAAAAGATTTGATAATTCTTGCTCCCTAAGATAGCAATAATGTAAATTTTATAAAGGATACTACTATATATGCATGAACACAACAAAAGGCGTCTAAGCTATACTTTGCTATTAATTCCTCTTCCTCAGCAATTTTCTTTTCTCTTTCAATAGCGGTCATATCCTTTAAAATTAGTAAATTTAATACATAAGGACAGCATTTCATTTCATGATCTGCTACCGTTTTATCACCTTCCATATAGCTAAACTTGAATCAGCACCGCCAGATACAAAGTATTCTTCCGTAGAGTTAGGCTTTATAGCCCATACCTAGTGACAGCCAATAAAAATTCCACAATAGATTTATTAATGTTTATGCTTTATAAATTTAATACAGAGAATTAAAATTAAATAACAACGGTAGTAAAAAAAATGCCATCTTGGATATAGCATTGTAGTGAATTACCTTATCTGTGTGATGATCAAAAGTATTTTCACATTCATTGCTTTTAATTGTCCATAACTTAATTAACCCATCAGAGTCACTTGATTACATAGTTCAACCAAAGACATTAAAAATTAAAAACCGTTCAATCATCGTAGCGATAGTATTGACTGTTTAAAATACTGCCAATCTTAACTTATCAATGTTATTGACTAGTCTATACCTTGACAACAGCTGCATCCCCCGAGTTACAAAGCTTACTTTAAGTACAGAGTTAGAATGGCCTTCAAAAGTCTACAATTTACAACATCTCATGAATTAGGTTTTCTATGACGTACGCATTAAGTTACGTGCAAGGCAAATGAAGTACTGAATGAAAGAATAACCTTGACACAAGTAAAGTCGATAACAGACCAAATCTTAATGTTAGAATCGCTTGAACACGTTGCGATACACTAAAGGCGAATAAATACAATAGTAAGCACATAAAAAAGCTGAATATGCTGTTAACGTTAACGAACGGGTCGCATCAATTACCTGATCTATGGGAGAAAATTGTACAGACCACAACCCTCGTTTGTGACCGACACAACTTCCCAGCAGTGATCCATCAGAAACGAGCCATACCTATGTTAAACAATGTCAATAAGTAGGATAGTAAGGAAGGCTATCAGTCATACGAGGTGTAATTGACTATATAACCTTACTTTTGCAGTTTTGTCTTGAGATGCTGTGGCAATTAGCTTATCGTTTGGTGATACATCAATGGAGTTAATATCCTTAACAGCATTTTAATATAGTATTAAAAATTGCAAACAAGATAAAATTGCATGCTAATTTTGGTAGTTATTTCAGAATATCTATCTTCGATCTACTAACTAAATGGTAACAGCTACATCACTATCACTTTGCAAAATCGAGAGCTTACCTTCTTATGGCTTATTTCTGTTACAGTAGCTGTTAAAGACTGTACATTCTCCTAGAAATGAATTCGGTCGTCGATATTAGTTGCATTAATCACAAAGATTTCTATGATTACATACGTATAAAAAAACAACAGTACAATAGTACATACGGTATTTAACTAATTTGTAAAACTTAAACCATACCTCATCGAAACTAGCAGGTAAAGTCCAAACTTTCATAGTATAATCATTACTTCCACTGACAATGAACGTATCGCTACGTCTGCATGATGTTCATACCACGTTAGTGAAGGGCAACTTCTACAAAATGCTGCAATAAAAAAGCTCAAACAATTTGACACCAACCTTGAAAAGGCAACTGCAGGTACTGCGGAAGTATGGCCAGAAGCAACTGCAACACATCGAAAAGAGTCATGAAACGCCTTCCAAACTCTTATTGTATGATCCTGTCAACATATTGAATGGTTAGACATGCGAATTAACTTATCCGTAAACTCCCAAAAACAAAATTACGCTATGATAAATACTTTAGAAGATGTAGCGATCAGTTGTCTATCATACGATACGTCCAGGGACAGTATTGTATCTAAGTCAAAACAAAATTTTAATTGGTTATTGTAGTCAAAATGGTTACCATCAAAACATAACTTTAATACCTGTATGACCAAATAGCATTTGACAACTCATGGTAGCATGCTGAAATATTCGTAGATCGGGACTATTTGTTGCAACCACTATATGACTATCGTCTTTACACACAAAACTTGCGTCCACTATTTCGTCATTATGGCCTATTAACTGGTGTTTCAATAAAAAAATTCATAAATAAATAAAAAGCACATCGAAATTTAAAAGCAAAATCATAGAAATTACCAGTTTCTTTAATTTTAGGTCTTCTACATCGTAAATCATCACATTATGATCAAATGTAACTAAAGCCAATGAATTAGTCGGTTTCAGATATGATATCTGAGTGAAAGCAGCCAATTCGGAATTTGAAAAGTTCGATGGAGATAATTGATGAACACATCGACTATCATTAGCCCTCCAGATGCGAATTACACCTACATGGTATCACAAGAACAATAAGAAAGAATACGTTGTTACTTCATAATATTTATTACATAATTAATTTTAATAAAAAGTGTAAATTAGGCTGACATTACCTTTATTGCCAACGGTTATATAATGCATAGAATTATTGCTTTCTTTGCCAGGAAAATTTATGTCTGACGGAAGGACTACGACCGATTCAACAATCTATCAGTTCGAAAGTTAACAATGGTGATTGTTAGCGTTCATGAGTCAATAACATGCATTTTATTTATTATTCGTCTAACTTCGAATGTTGGAATGGTCTTAAGTAGGCTTTTAGAAGCTATATCCCATAAATTGACGACATTATCTCTTCCACCACTGTGGAATATTTGGTATAAAAATATGTATTAGAATCGAGTGTTTGCATCGCGAATTCATGCTATGTACAATATTGTTACTGATATCGTGAATACCTTAAAAGTGTTTTACCATCGTGGCTAAAAGCTAAACTTGATATAGAACTGTAATGGCCTTCAAAGATACGAATACATCTAATAAAGTATGACAGTAATGAAATACAGTATGAGTGTCACTGAATTGACAATTGATTACACCTGAAAATTCTAACAAAGTCATGATATACGAACTTGCTCGATTTCAAATCCCACTGCCTAATTTTATAGTCATCCGCAGCAGAAAATAAATGTAGGATTGCAGGATCGGGATGAAAGCTTATTGTGCTTGTATTAACAGATTATAATTCAGGAATTAATATAAACAAGATTATTGACATAGCTCTTATCTTCTCCTTCACTTGATGTATTGCATCTTACTTTACAACTCCTTGAGATCCTTTAAGGTTATGAGTATAGTAATTACTACTGATATCCCAAATTTTTATAGTGCTATCGCTGGATCCTACAATTTGAGATGATATAAATTACGAGAATGAGTGCAAGTCACACTGGTGTACGTTGGTAAGGCTTTTTAGCTGTGTCATTTAATTACCTGTTGCTAGTAGTGTCGACGAAGCATCAAATTCCATGGCTACCACAGGTCCTACGTGTGCGGACTATAGAAAGTGAATTTACGATGATACGTTAATCAGCTTCAAAAATAAAGTGTTCTAGATCAACACATTAGTACCTTCCAAGCACGAGTACAAGACTTTTCCTGCCAATTCCATTGTCGAAGTAATAAATTTTGGCTGCATGTTAACAGCCACTATAATATATGTAAAAGTAGTCATATAACATAAGCAGATGGATTTCTAACGCTATTAATAGATAGATTTGTAATTACTATAATGAAACATCGAAGCTAAGATCTTATCCAATACTATCAACGACCTTATCATCAGGAGTAACAGCTAAACAGGTTATGATATCTTCATCCTATTTGAAAAGGAACGATTTACATAGTTCATAAATTAAAGGATGGTAACTATTATGACTTTCAAGTAGCAGCCAAGATTTGAATTTCAATATTTTTTATGTAAATTTATAAGGCCCTTACCTCATCAAATGATGTCGTTACTGCTCCAGTTTTTATGTCGACCACCTGGACTTTGGTGCCAAAGGTACAAAAGATATGTTGTGCAGACGAGGAAAACTACGCAGGAAATGAGCGATAGCTCAGTCATAAGTTGTAGGCATATAACAATTCTATTCTACGCAACAATACTAGTGTAAGGCACTGGTAGAGAGGAAAAGGCTAAGGTAAAATCGAATTTGTTCCAAGCTTGCATACCTGGAGAGTGCCACCAGTAAATATAGGCTCTAAATGCGATGTGACGGAATAGCTGCATATTCCATCAGAACACAATATATATCGATTTTAGTGTTGGTATGAGCATTTAATTATTGTATTCACATCCTAAACTGGCAACATATAAATCTAACGAGGATCTACTTAGGATAGCGAGATCATGGTATCATGATATTACGTAATTACACTGACTATTATCTTGATCAGTATGCTTGTTTGCGTACTGCTACAGTATAACAATAATAAGAATTGAAATCCAATACACTTCTACTTTGCCCAATCTGCTCATTCACTTAAGGACAATGTCATTATCCATTGGCAACAAGTAGGACAGATTTATTGTGCATTAGCTATTTGTTACGTTTTACTTAGTACAATAAAAATTAAGAAATAACTCCATGTGGGACCAATCTCTTCAGCTAGAAAATCAACTAGTAGTATCCTGGATTAGCAAGTTAATGGAGGTAGATAGGGCACTCGATGGCTGATTCAAGAATATTGTAAACATTTTTACCACAACATTATGTCAATACTATGGATAAAATCGTATCGAAAAAAGGCTAAGACTTACTGTTTCTTGAGTAGCTGGCCAGAAGCTGCGTTAGCTGCCATGATGAATGAGGCTTCCTTTTCTAGTTCAGGTCAGCTCGGTGAGGAGTACATGGTGCAAGCTCTACGCTTGCGCAAGCAGATGGACACTTCGATCATACAGACTTTAATGCAGTGTCCCAGATGGGACTTTAATAAGCAAACAATTGTATAGCATTTGGGTGTATTTTGTGTTATCATACTGTAACAGTGATCCAACCGAGTCATTGGAGATAGTAGCTAGTACTTGTACTAGTGACAAAAGTAAAGGGAAACCTTATTGGTAAATATTTTCGCCACAACATCATGTCAATACTACGGATAAAATTGTATCGAAGTAAGGCTAAGACTTACTGTTTCTTGAGTAACTGTCCAGAAGCTGCGCTAGCTGCCATAACAAATGAGCCTTCCTTTTCTAGTCGGTCAGGTCAGACCAGTGAGGACTGAGGAGTCCACTGCGCACGCTTTACGCTTGCGCAAGCCGATCGACACCTCGATCGTACAGACTTTAATGCAGTGTCCCAGATGGGACTTTAATAAGCAAATAATTGTATAGTATTTGCACGTATTTTGTGTTATTATACCGTAACCGTGATCGAACTGAGTCATTGGAGATAGTAGCCAGTACTTCTAGTAGAGACAAAAGCAAGGACAACCTTATTGGTAAACATTTTTGCCACAACATCATGTCAACACGACGGATAAAATCGTATCGAAGTAAGGCTAAGAGTTACTCTTTCTTGAGTAGCTGGACAGAAGCTGCGCTAGCTGCCATGACGAATGCGGCTTCCTTTTCTAGCTGGTCAAGTCGGAATCTGACCAGTAAGGACGGAGGAGTCCATTGCGCAAGTTTTGCCACAATACAAAGTACTCGCTTTGCTACCGTATTGAACGCCGTACTGTACACTGTACATTGTACAGTACAACAGTATAGTACTACAGTAAATACCATGTCCGATTGGTACATCGGTTAGTAGAGTATAGTGACTGATATCAGCAATAGCGTCCACAATAAGATATAAACTAGTTTGCAGACTTGCCATACTGGAGCGACTAATTGGCCAACTTAAGCAGCCACATTATAGCCAATTAACAGAAATAAACGACATAACAGCTTGTTATAATTATCGGATATACAGTAGACAGAACTCTATTTGAAGCTTGATTGATCGTAAAACTTTGCCTTCAGATTCGTAACTTGCTTATGCCAATTCTTCAATGTCCACTACAGCTAACGGTAAGAATGATTATCCTACAGTAGCCGCAGCGTCAGTTCATCAAGTCGTCCGTCGATTTGGTGTTGCTGTAGCAACGGTAATCTCGCCAAGGTAGTAGAATTGCGTTTGTCTGCTAGACGTAATATTCCAGTACATAGTCTCACTTCCAGCCATTAAGGGATAAGATTAGACGTCTGCAGATTTATTAGGAGCTATAGTATAGACACAGATACATTGGATTAGCATTGACTAATTACTACAGTGTACAAGGATGAACGGTTGTTTCACAAAGGAATCAATAAAATTAGGGGAATCCAATTTTCTCATCTATTTCTACTCTCGCTGTAAATCAAGCAACAGAAGTATTGAAAGGCTCAATAGCATCAGGGGTTCAAGCTTGGCTGAAACGTACTAACTTACACTTGCATACTGCTTTGATTTCAAACATCACTGACAAATTAATGTAATACTTTGGAATCGATATCATGGGCAAGTTGCGGTTATAAATGTAGTATAAAGTGATTGCATGCAACCAAAATACATCATTGATAGCGCAGAATATATTGTAATGTCAAGATACCGTATAGCATTGTGTTTATAGTGTTAGATAAAATTTCTGCGATATCGTCTAATACTTGAACATTTTCGAAATTGACAATCAGCTATACCGTACACCATATATAAGCATTACAGGCTTACAGTATGTATATATACAGTATAATCAACTGTCAACACTACCGTAATGATAGCGAATTTACGCCAGCTTGTTAATGATATTGCTGTAGTTCAATGTAGATTCATCAAATCATCATGATCGATATCCGGTACACTTGAGCAGTGAAGGGCAATAAAAATTAAATCGTTTCAAATTCCCATCAATATGAGAATCGACAGTCAAGCTAAGACTCTGTATGGCGAAGAAATCGAACAAAATATAAAACGCAACCTTGCTACTGTAATGCTAGGATGTACAAGTCATTGAATACAACGAAAATGTGTCATTGATAGGGCAGAATATGATAATGTCAAGATATTATATAGTATTCCGTTAATATTGTTAAATAAATCTCGACAAGATCGTCTAGTACTTTGAAATTTTCAAAATTTCCAATCAGATATCTACAGTATAAACATTATGGCGAAAAATCGAGTAAAATACAAAATGCATTCTTACTACTTGAAGACCAATTCTCTAGCGTTCAGCATCTAGTACTGATTTTCTAGACTAAGGCCTTATAATCAACTTTTACAACGCATACTTTTTTTGCCTTTATTCCAATTAAATACCTCACGACATCATAACTTGTAATCAAGACAGTCGGTGGTTACGCTTTATGCATTTATAAAAAATTAAACTGCTAATGAAACGCCTATTCATTATTCGTTTGTTAATATCTCTTATCATAGTGAACATTAACCTAATATTGAGAAGGCTTCATGTAGTACGAACAAGAGTTTAATAAACGACACTTTTACCAATGACTTCACTGAATTTGTAGAAAATTACAGTAGTCAAACTCTCCGCTAGAAATAGAACATTGTAATGTACAGGGGCATTCATATTAACCGACTATATCTTACCTACTAAATTAGCTATCATAAAAAGCTGACTAGCAATTAAGTTTAATTACTTTAGTGAACTTTTAAAGTACTAACGTATACTTATATTATCACGATACCGCAGTGACAGCTAGCCGGGACAACTTATCTTATAGATTTAACATGTTTAATCTAAAATTTTAGATAAAATTATTGAAAATTATACGAATTACATTACTTTACTTATCCCTTTAAACATTTTACCTTATCTAACTCAAGGTATCAAGTAAAATCCCCTGTAGAACAAACATTTAAACAATTGTATAATATATACCTTTCTTTCAAAATCTATTTTAGCGATAACATCGGAAATTTTCTGGAAAACTATATTCCAGCTTGTGTCATTCAAGACATGCCTTATCTACCTCATCTCCTTACCGCTACTTGTAGCTTTAACCTCCAGAATGCGAGCCTTTAGCTTGCGCCCGCTGCTTATTATTCATAATTTTTTCTGCAGTGCTGTGAGTGTATATACAGCTCTGTCTTCATTTTATGGCGCCTATCAAGGAGGATCGGCATTTCTTACCAAACCTGTTGAGAATTTACGTTATGGATTTTATCTGTATTGGATTAGTAAAAATGTTGAACTATTGGATACTCTATATATTATTTTGAAGAAAAAATACCGACAGCTGTCGTTCCTTCATGTTTATCATCATTCCAGTATGGTATTGTTCAGCGAGTTTGGTTATCGCCTTTGTCCGTATCCTGCCATTGCCATACCTTTAGGAATTAATTCTGTAATTCATGTTTTTTTGTATTATTACTATGGTATGTGTGCACTAGACCCTGCAAATCCTCCGACGTGGAAGAAAAGATTGACTGAAATGCAGATTTTACAATTTATTATCGGTGTAACCCATAGCACCTTAGGATATTTATATCATGGCTTCTGTTTTTATGGTGTTATATATGGATTTAGTATGCTGTGGCTTTTCTGTAACTTTTATTATAAAGCATATCTTACTAAACGACGCCTGAAAAATGAGTAGTTTTTCAACATTTAACATTACCATTTCGGAATAATTCGTATAATCAAAGCTTTACAAAGTATCTTCTATCAAATGTAGTCATTTTTGGCAACTTTACTACTGGCATTAGCAATGGAGTGAAGTAAGATCAACGTTTTTGTGCCCAGTCTACCATATCTTTGCGTAACTGCAGCAAGAATAAGGACAGAGATTTGCAGTCTTCGTACAGTACTCCGAATGTTTTTGTAAATAGCTTTAATGAATGATTTTTTCTCTGCGTTATAGAAATTAAAATATAAAATAGTGATGGTGGTAGGTATTTGCAATAAAGTGAATACCTCTTCATTGTTATGGTGATGGTCAATACGATCATGAGTACCCGTCTTCTCGGATAACCGACTTGTGTATAGCTACCTATCCTGGTATGCAGTATTACTCATTTCGTAATACTGTAGTCAAAATTTTAGCAACTATCAGTACTTCTTCAGACTAATACACCTGTAACACAAGTATGTTTACTATTCTTTAGGATGGAAGTACAAATCTTGCAAATTGCTCATTCTTATCAAAGATGTATAACTAATAAATAAATATAATTATGTGCAGAACATTTTGTGTGTAGCATGCCAGTCGTAATTATTGAATTTGTATTGTACGCGTATAAGGGTATTATTTCATCATTCCAAAATGATCTGTCTTGAACGATTTCAGGTTATTTAGTACCGATGTCCTCCGGTAATACTATATTCTAATATGATATTTCAGCGCATAAGTTAGACTATCGATTGGGATATCGTCCTTTATTTAGCAGCCTTAAATACTACTCTATATCACGCGCTTACAAATGTCTATAAAATTTATGCCCTGAGATTTCGGTAACAAAACGGCAGATATCAAAGCGTGATGTGAACACCTCAATCTCGAAAATTACTTTCACATACTGTGTGCATTGATGGATGAACAGATTATCTCATGACAGTGATATACAAAAAAGGCTTGAACATTTAATTAAGAAGTATAAGCGATCACTTACAAAATCTTTGATGTATTCAAATTTTTAGAAGGTATATGCTGAAATCCAATCTACTTAATGTTCCTAAATTGAATTTAATATATCTGCAATTATTGAGTGAAGTTTTTTATGTTGCAACATTGCACAGAAAAAGATTCCCGTGGTGTTTGTAGTTCATACACAAGCTAGTCAAGATATCTCACTCTTTAGCTTTAGAGACTAGCAACCCTCACCATAGATGTTTGTACTTATGTTTTATTTCTTATCTAATCTAAAATCATAACTAAATGGAAATACATCAGCATATGCTATAGAAAAAAAAGGATGAGTTTTGCGCACTACGGTAAGCAAAGAGTTTAACAACAGTATGTAAAAAGTTTCGTAGCGTACCGTCTTGTGATAACAGTTATTATTATTACACTTGAAAGCTGATAAGTCGCATTTATTCACATATAATTTTACAGTCAAAGACGTCATAGTCATACAGTATCTTTCAATATATCGCGATAAAGTAAGTACAATAACCTTCAATAAAATCATTGCATCGTTATCTGCAGTACATTTTGTCATCTTATTTCGTATATTTCATTCTACGTTGCATCTAATAAGTGACAAGTAGGTAATTTGATGTAAAAGCTTTTACTGATTATAAATTTACCCAACAGCGTAGGCTACAGTCCTTGCTTCAACTGTGTCATGAAATAAGGTTCGCCATTTTCCGTTTGCCTTTGTGTTAAAATTTCAACTCCCTTATCAGTAACAAGCAATGTTTCCTCAAATTGAGCAGATCGTTTTCCATCCTAAATGATCATAGAGTCAAGATTCAATTGTCATATATCAAATACAAACGCTTTCCCTTTAATAATCATTAAATGCTAAAAAATAAAAAGACAAAGGGGAAGCATCAAAATTGATGACAAACCAAAGTAACAGCAGTCCAGTTATCAGGCCAAGATTTATCTCTCCATGTTCCTAACAACAATGTAAGATTTCAATTAGCAGCCTGTTGATTATCCTTTTAAGATTATTATCGCACAATGTAATACAGCAATAAAACATATAAAACTATACCTTCAGAAATCATAGGTTCTATAGTAAAGCAGTGGCCAGCACGGACTATACCTATGGCTTTATTATCTATTAACATGATCCGTAGTAGTTAGTGATAATAAATCTATGATTACCTGTATTAGTGAATCTTATATCAGTTATATTACTTACTTGCATAATGTGGAACATTAGGACTAGTATGGAAGAGACTGTAAAATTAAAGAAATGTTAGCTATTACTACAGCAATATACAGCAAAACACAGAAGATACGCATATACTATGAAGGGAAACTGTTAATGTACCGATGAATCCCATGGCCACAATACGTTTTTACAACACTAAAACCATTCGCTTGTGCATATCGTTGAATAATATTACCAAACTCTCGATAACGAATCCCCACCTTAACTGAATAGAGACGTAGTTAATTTTTAATTAGTACATCTTCATTTAGACAATGCATTTCGTAATTTAGACCTCGCTACAACAGTTATAATTTAAACTACGTTTTAGCTATGCGTGCTATACCAGCTTTAATGGCTTCCTGTAAACATTCATACGATGTTTTAACCAGCTTTTGTGATACTTCGTCGACTTTGCCGATAAAAAATGTCTCATTTAGATCGCCATGAAAGCCGTCGTGATAAACAGTCACATCAACTAGTTGCAAAAAATTAAAGCAAGGTATTAACAAAAATTTCGATTTCAATCAATGACTTTGATATGAAGATAATATTAGTAATGGAAATAGCATGCACTTATAGTCTTATACTAATTGTTTGCTTTCGTACCATTTAATATATCCCCTTCCTCTAATTCCCTCTTGTCAGGAATGCCATGGCATATGACTTCATTTACAGATCTAAATATTTAATATTAGCATAAATTGCTTATGTTTATTTAGTTAAACCAGTAGTCAAAAAGCCAACTATGGATTCCAGCAATACTACTCACGTGCAACATGATTTAGGGAAATTATAGTAATTGAGTGGCGATGGATAGCAATCGCGTTCGATACATGCCTGGAACAACATAGCCAAGCACTTTTAAATATATCTAATAATTCGATTTACATGTGAATCATTTCAAAATGAACTATCATCATCATGAGATTAATTATTTGCACTCTTTCTTTTATTCCTAGCACCAACACTTAATACAGTATAACGTTGCATACCTCATGTACTACTCTATCGATTTCGTCTGTAGTAACGCCAGGTTTTGAGGCCTTAAATCCTTCTTCCAGTACTTCACGGCCAAGCTATGATAATTGTTTAAAGAGAGAAAGTTAGTACATAGATAGAATGCACACATATATACAAACCCTTTTTTAATAGCAATGTATTTTACATAAACGGAGTGTAAAATACTGAAAGCTACCCAACTACATCTGAAGACAATATTACTAGTGATATTTGTAAGAGATCAATATCTAGGATCTTTTCACTGCTATGCAGATATCACAAGATCGTACCCGTGCAGACTTTCTGGCTTTCTCTATATCCGCCGCTGATAGTATTTTAATTGTATTATTGCCACGTAATTTTTGCTCTCCAATAGGGATACCTTCATCAGCATAGTCTGGTCTAGCTATAGAATCAGGCAATGTCCTAGGTGATGACTAAATAGACGTTTGTTTTATTTAGGTACTTCATTAACAAGTACTTATTATTGTATTACTCTATGTAGAGCGAGCAGTAACATCAATCCATTTCATTATATGACTTTCAATCTTACCAATGGGAAAGAACGTAGCTTTCCTGTATATGAATATCCAGGCCATTTTTCTGTGAAAGTATTTTTATTGCCATTTTGTTTGTCTTTGGTATTAAAATGCATAACGATTAATTAAAGTGTCATCTTAGGTAATGTTTAAAACCTTCTAGTTATTCTTTAGTCTAGTAGTAACATAGCTGAGAGAATACACTCTCAATAGACGTATTTCGTGTCATAGCAATGCACTTTACAAGCATTTTTTTCTAATCTCATGTAGCGACCATAGTGCTTTATTTTCCTCTACACGTCGGTGCATATTTATGAAACTATTGAAAGTTGTACAAGCATATCCAGATATTTTACACTACAAATCAATAAAGAATCAATTTCGATGTTGTTTATTAAGTGCCTTTATCATAACTACGTCGGACTTACCCATATTATGTAACAGCTTATGTAATGGCCAGTAATTCTTGAAACATTGCTTTTATTTTGGAGAAGAAAGCGTTTGCACTTATTACACGAATCGAAGTAGTAAATCTAATCTTATCGACGACTTAAAGTATACCGAGTAAAACATAGTCAGAAATGATAGTATTCAATCAAATATTAACGTAGACTTTTATCGAGTAAAGCGTAGTTAGAAATTGATCCATTAGTCTTATTTATAAAATGACTCTTGCAAAACTTCTATCATTTATGCTGCTTCTGCAGTACCCTGCCGTCTCAATTTTCTGGCGATCACGCTTGTGCAACAAACTAATCCCATTGGCGCATAAAACTCATCATTACCTGAGAACAAAAGTAGCTAGCCGAAATGCTCAATTTTATGCATGAAGGGCATCTCATTTTGGCTGCTTTACCACATCCAGTCGTTTCACAAATTCGAATAGTTTGAGAAGCCATCTTGATTTGTTGTTGTCAGGGAAAAGCTTTGGACGGATCGAAATGAGCTACAGTATAATGGAACAGTACAGGGTATATAGTGTACAGACCACAGTAGCGCTTTATACTGTATGCTGTACAGTATAGTGTACAATACCATACTATCCGCTATAGTACATATACTGACTTAACAGATCATCTTCATGTCAGTATGAGAAAGTCCTACAGTATACTATCGAGGGATTTCTTCTTGCTCCATGCCGATATCCTTTAATGGCTAGAAATGTTGACGACTTTGCGAATACTGTTGAAAATTTTTCATGCTAGAGTTGCAGTTGCTATTCATTTAGCAGCCCATAAACAAGAATTTTCACTTGATGCAACTAGGGACATCTCTTACGCAACTTATTGCGCAATTTGCAGCGTCTATTTTGCTTCGACAGTATCATTGTATTTAGTGTATAATGTCATCCTGCACGATGATCTTCTTCCAGCCGTTCATGGCTGCACAGAAGGTTGATATTTTCGTCCAAAAAATCACATATACGCTTGTATTGATGTAGTCAAATTATATTCACTGCCAATTTAAATATTATATGTACCTCAGTGCTGCTGGAAGCCAATTGTAACAAGGATGATCTACCGACCATCTTTATCAACAATCTTTGAAGTGTTATAAGTAGCCAACTATGGGTATTTTAAGCTGACGGAGAACGCTTCAAAAGAAGAAAGAAAAATAATGTGCATTAAAGTAAACTGAGCGGCATACTGTACTGTAAATGGAATCACATGCATAGTCAATATCGTAGAAGAAGATAGCAAGGCATAAAGCAATATTTCATCTTAAATTGCGTTGACCACAGCGAAATGAGATTATTCGGCTACAGTTGCAGCTCCGTCTAGCATTCTATCTAAGTATTGCCGAGTAGATATGTAGGCTAGGAATAGATACATGACATTAAACGATGTTCTTTCAGATTGCGCTGCACTAAATTGTATTCTCCAACAGCGGTCTCTGCTGGTGATGGATAAAATTGATTTACTATCGAATAAATTGAGTCCCCGTTACTTTAGCAGCTCGAAAATTGTTCATCTTTGATACGATCTTATGCATCATTTAGAATTTTAAAACTTATTTTATAGCATGAAAATGTCGAGGATAGGACTGTACTGTGAAATAAACATGGCGTGCACAACCTGCATGGCATAACGCCACAATAAACAGTTTATTACCTACCGTAAGTCTGTTGCAACTTGTAACTGAGTTGTAAGTAACTTACAAGGTATTTCCTTACGCGTATTTCTCCGATATCCCTGTCGATAACATATTTAGAATTTTAATAAATACAGACTTGAATTGTGCTTAGCTCTGCCGATCCTTTCGCGCGAACGAAGCAATTTACCTAATGCATCTAGCCAATACATAAGTGTATATTACTGAAATGAACTATAAATAAAATTAGGGCTAGCAGACAGACTCACCAGCCCCTCTCCTTATTAAATAATAGAATTTCTCATCCCGATCGCGGTCTTTCCGTCAATCCCTGAAGCTTACGAGTATAAAGACTGTATCATATTTCGAAGAGCCTTGCACAGTTTGCTTTACAAGTATCTATCTCTACCTCTCAATCCGTAAAGCTTGCACGTATAAAAGCTATATGGTATTTCTAATAGCTTCCCGCAGTTTAACTTTGCAAGTATCAGTCATAGCAGCCAATTTTGAATGCCTTCAGATAGAAAGACATGCCATAAAGGAGAGGAATGTAAGAATTACATCCCTAGTATCATAGGTGATCATCTTATTGACGCCTTCTGTTTACACATTATTAAGGTAATAATCTGCCACTCTTGGCAACGATGAACTTTAGCCTATCATGATTGCATGATAATATAATCTCTTTATTTATCAAGTTGCGTCTATACTGATCATGGTTCCAAAAGGCATTATGAACTGTTGAGTAAAATCAATAGTAAACAAACATTATCGAAAGTAACAGATCAGAACCTATGGGAAGAAAAGTTATGATTAGTTATTAACTTGATATAGAGTACATCACACGAGCAGCAAACAAAAATGAGGCATGAAATATGGATAAAGACCTCAGTAACTTATACGAAGCGTCCACTAATAGTATGATTAGTTGCAAAATCAATAGTTATAGGCAGGGACTTTTCGATTTCTTTTCTTACCTGGTAAAAAATTCGAAAAATCTCTGTTATTATAGAATACCCGTTGCAAAAAACCTTCTTTTTGAACCTCTTTCAGGAACCTTATTACTAATAGAAAAGTAAAATATCAAAATATTGTATCATCAAGCAACTGTAAATATTATATGATAATTACGTAAAAAAAAAGTGCAAACACGGTCCTTTTTTTTCTTCAAAAGAAGCTATCTAGATGATAGCCGGAAGGGGTATGATTAGGAATATTTTGATGTAGAGGATCGCTCGTGTCAAATATGGATATCGAGTAGTCGTGATTTTACCACCTCTATCAACGCCCTAAATCACACAAGGGATAGTTGAAACATTTCAGCCCCACGTGTGGAGCCGCAGTTTTAGCATTTTATCCGTTCCCATCCATATTCACAATCGGCCCATTTCTGTCAGATTAACTTTCAACTTGTGAAAGTTGTGTGAAATATTCCTGAATTGTAAGATCTATATTTTCGACCGTACTGAAAGGTCCATAGCTACAATATGAACTAATGCGCGAATAAAGTATTAATGCAGTAAAACTCTACAATTCAAAGTTCTGCCAGGTAGTACATTAGATCAGATAAAATTTCGTCACCTCCTTGATAAATATAATTGGCTGAAAATCTTCATTGATATTTCTTCTCTATCATGGAATCAACCGATTTCAAAGGGCAAATACAATCGTTAAGGTAAAACGTAATGTATATTAAACTATTTTTTTCACCTCGAAATCTTTTCCAACTTATTGCTTCTTCTTTACTGTACATGAAGTAGTTCAATTTTTTAATTGTTACTAAATGTACTCCGTAGAGGGTATTGCTAGACTGTAAATTTGTACTCATTTGCATAGTACTTTCTAAATGGCTATCTGTTAACACAGCGTACAGGTATTTTTCTATATAGCACAGTAGCTAAAGTCGTTTTTTTCCCTTAGTTGCCAAATTGAAATTTACAAGTCTAGGTTTCTTTCTAGTAAAATCGATATAACAGTTAAATACGGAATGCAGTATTTATCTGTAGCAGGTTTCTTCCTACAAGAGTATCGTTCATAGCTGCCTATCGGCAAAAATAAGCTAAATCTAAGACCGCTAGATACTTCACCTAGATACTTATCTAGTTACAAGTAAATTAAACTTTCGTCATATTATCCTTAATCACGACAAACTTATGTAGTACACGACCGTTATATTTAAAAATTTCTTACTGTTGCTGTACTAGTAATACTGAAAGATCAGAAATCGTATATTAATATATAATATAGCAAAGATCTCAGAAATGATACAATCTTGCAATTGATTCTAAATTTTGATCGTTAGAGATGGTCTACCAATAGTCAAATGATAAAGAGAGAAAGTGATTTTCGCTAGCTTTAGACGGTATAAACGATAGTTTGTACTTTACAGGCTAAAGTTGGAAAAAATTTTGTTGCATTCTGCTATGTTTCGTAGTACGATTAAAGATATCGTGTATATCATGAAATTTTTATGACTATGGAATAGATACTAATCCCAAAATGAGTATCTTCGATACCGTAAAGAGGTCTATTAGATAGCTATAGCAAAGTGTTCCACTAGAAGAGTAAAGCTGAATTAAGTTCGTTATGATTAATACTAATTCCTAACAGTTGAATATTGCTTGCGAATAACCTAATTGCTCTCAGTATGGCTAACGACCTTGTGAGTACTATCAATATTAGTGGTGATATTAATTCAAAATAAGTTAGCTTTGCTTTTAGAACCCTTACAAGTGATTTTTCAGCAGCTACAGACTATAGTACATTGTTGCACTGAAAGTGGAGAAACATAGTTTGAGAGCGTATAGATCATGATGCTTATGGCTACTTATACATACCCTAACTGTGCCATCTAACCTATTCTCCAAGCTATAGACCAGTGTTAAGAAATTATGATTTATATCTACGAAGTTGTTATGTGCCATAGTGGATGACAACTATCTTTGGAACTGCTGATTTTAATTATACATAACTACGTTTTTTAAACAGCTGGTATCATCCAGGATTATCCAAAAATGTAGCAATATGTCTATTATACTATAACTGCGTCCAAGGAACTTACTTATTAAGAGACAGCCAATCTAACCCTGGAAATTTTACGGTATCAGTTCGGTCAGTATTTTGTACTACAAGATCTCTGTGTCCTATTTGGTTTTTCGCTTAAAATTCATGTAGTGTGTACGAGTATATTATAAAACAAGCTTGGTAAAGGTTATAATACCCTTATTTCTACCTAAAGACTATTTAATCAAATCCAGATTATTTTTCTTGATAAGTTACATGCGACCGTAAATTACTCAACTGTCTACTTCGTGATATTAATAATTTTCTTGCCTTTCTTAAATAATATACAGTATATAAATTTTTCTTTAGAAACTCTTATGTTTAATCATGAATTATGCTTATGATTGCTACGTCGATTTTAGAATTACTGAAACGTTATTAACGGCCTATAATTATAATTTTACTGCTTACTTTCATCATAGAACGAATAATAGCGTCATGCACATACCTCTTTATAAAGAAAGTATCTTTTATATTTTTGGAAAGTTAAAATTTACAACCATCTCAAGATTGCTATCACATTTTGATCACTATCCTATCATTGCTGGATCTGCAGGTAAATTTCAGCTTCTTGGCATTAATTATATTAAGGTCAAAATTTATTATTATATGCTCGTAAACAATTTCTGGAGTCTAGTAAGGTTACAATCTACCAAAGGCTAAGGTATTGCATACATTTTTACGTCCTGTAATCCGATTATGACAGGACATTCATACCTTGAATCTTATCGTAAAGCAATAAAAAATATTAGACAACAGACGGATTAACAGGGCTGCATTTAATCTTATTTCAATGCTTAAAAGTAAACGGTAGTTAATATAGTTACCGATCGTGTTTTAAATCACATTATGGTATAAAATTTACAGTGTTGCTTACATAGTCAAACACATAGGCTAATCTTGCCGCTTTTTAATTGTGTAATTCCGTAAATAAACTAATAAATTTTCGATTGTAAGGGTTTATATTCCCTATAAAATTGTTATAAAACATGTCGTTAACTCAATAACTAAGACTAGAGATAGATTATTAGAGCCTAATTGAGACAAGAGTAAATAGGCCGTTTTAAAACTGACTTATTTATCATTCACGATAAATTTATTACCAGGAAGCTCTACGTCACTCAAGTATCCATATCCCAATAATATATTAGAACCTCCAATTTATGAACGAATTACGTTACAAACTGAAGCTGGGACGATTCCCAGTAAAAGTCCGTATTACCTCCAAAGCTTTTTTGTAAGTTCATACGAGGCTTTAGCATGTTAGGTTCGAATTTTAAAATTGTGCAATTCTAACCTAAGATTGGTAATAAAGAAAGCTGCCTCATGAAATTAGGAAGCGGGTGGAAGGTCTGCCTACATCTAACCCAAATTTGAATAAAGTCACCTTTACAGAAAATCGTTTACAATTTAGTATACATTTTTATTTGCTGCAATTGCTAACTGTACTTAGTGAATAGTAATAAGCACCGTTTAAACATCCATACAAGCTTTCACCTATTGATCTCTAACTTGGTATTCCAGAAAACTTGGAAAAAACGATGGGTAGTTACTTGGAAATGTGATATATCATTCTTCAGACATTCTTCGGTACTCGATATTTATAATTTATTACTGAAATTATAACGTATGGTTTATGTAATCCGATTTAATACTACGTGTTAATTCGAATCAAGTATTTTACAGATTTTTATTTAACGAAATTCTTGGTATGTTCCGGCTTTTCTTTATAGGATGAGCATGCCCTTGAATTTTATGACTTACGAGATGCCATCGAGGCCGAGTGGGATGATACGTATTCAAAGTCAAATTCCTTTAGGTTATTTAGCATAATTTGATATATAACACTAATTACTCAATTTTACAATTTATATTTGAATGTAACATTACAATAGGATCAAGTTCCCAAGCAGAACATTTTATTTTTACACAACAGATGACGATGATGCCAAAGAGTGGGTAGATTTGATCCAATACAAGCTGGTATAATAGTACAAAAGCAATTATTAATTTTAATGATATACACCTAGCAGATTTTTATAGTTATGATTTCCATCTTTATCTCTAATAAAGCAAGCACGGTAATCGATTTTATACTATTATAATTCAGAAATTGTTGATATTTCTTATTATATATACTAAATTATTTCCATTTATTTCTGTACTCAGCGATACTATAGTGAAGAAATCCAAGCAAAGAAGCCTAGCCAGAGCCTAGTATCACAAGCCAGTGCATCGACGTGATAATTATTTTATAAAAATGCTAATGAATACAGTATACTATCAGGCTATCCTACCAAAATTTCAATTTTAATAGCCTATCTCATTGGCTCTGTCCGATTACGTGAAAGAAACATCGATTTTAAAGTGCTCTATTTGAATGTTGTCAATAAAATGGAATAATTGCTCACAATGTTGAAATGTTATGTACGCTTAACATGAGTGAGTCAAAGTAGAAGTGCACCTGATGACCGTCGATTCCATTCTATCTTTCTAATTTTATATTACTAGGGAATCATTTACAACTATTAATTGACAAATTTTGAAGAATAAAGTTATAATTTTATTATACGGAAATATTAGTGGATGCCATAATGATAAAAGTTCGACATTAATGACATGATAATGTAGACTTCTTTCTACAACGATCATTAAGATTCATAGGCCAAATGAATAAATATCACTATACTCAACTCTAAATGTTAATTTGTATTCAAGTGATATATACGTCGTATTTTCTTTCATAGCACTAATCTAATACAATTACCTTAATTAACATTTACTGGAAATAAAATAAACTGTACAAAAGTAAGATGTATCACACTATATCACACTAGAATATTAATATTCGGGTGCTGCAAATAGTCAATATCTATAGGATGCGATCCTTGTAAGAACGATGTATGCTCTTGCTGTTAAGACGATGAACATCATAGTAACGCTGAACCATGATTAAAGCTGCGATCGTTGATGTAAAATCGGAGGGTAGCTGGTACGTCTAGCTGAACGCCACGTTCATGTAATGGAACTAGACTCTTTTCACCGATATTACGGCAATCAGCTACGTGAAGAACAGCAAGGTTTGGGCAGTTCTCACCTATTCAGAAAGATAAAATAAAACATGAAATCAAGTCGATGACATGCTGTCGATTTATAGACGTAATTCTGTCTATACGATATTGCAATGTTTAGCAAACACGCGTACATGTACAGTAATAGTAGTAAAGAAGTTTAAAGGCATGAAAACGTCATGCAAATAGAATTTATTCTATATGTCGTTTCAATACAATAATGAATTTAAAGCAGAATAGCAGATTGCTGATTAGTAAGTATATCTGTACTATAACAAACTTACGATTAATATACATAGTCTGCTAAGCTAGCTTTGAATTTTGTTTTAGTGTAATGTGTTACGTGGTATACGTTGCCGTTCAAAAGTTTGAACGGGTATTTGACCAGTATAATGAATTATTATTATGATGGACAAGGAATTCTACACCGTCTAGTTTGATATTTTTTCTCACCTAGATTCTTGATAGCCGTATCAGTAACACGCCAACAACTCACGAGTGAGACATGCCTTAAGAGATGACATCTTGCTGCTAAATTAAAAATGGATTTATTGGTAATAGCATAACAACATGCTAAGTCAATTTCTTTTAAATTAGGACAATTGATGGATAAGGATATAATACACTCGTCTTCGATATCCCAGCATCCACGGCATGAGAACACCTCTAATTGATGGCAATGTGCACTTAATAATAAGATAATCTCTTTGGAAAGCCAACGACATTCATTTAAATGTAATTCAGTTAAGTATGGGCAATTGGTTGCAATGCATTCAATACTGGCGTTGGTTAGCTTGGAGCACCCAGATAACCATAACTGTCTCAAATGTTGATTTTGGCGTAGAATAGGAATAAAATTATCATCATTTAACAAATCCTTACAATTGGAAACATTGAGATATTGAATGAAACGATTATAGCCAAGAAGCCATTGCAGATGATGATGACGTAATGATGCAGCAAATGGACTTAAATCATAGACAGTACAACAAGTGAAATATTCTAGGCATAGCTGATTAAATGATTTACAGACCAAGCGCAGGTTGCACACCTCCATAAGGGTCAAGAAAGGCAATATCGAGGTGAAGATAACATCTTCCCAGGGTAGCGAAAAGACAGTTAAAGTCATTCTGTAAAGCACTCAGTTCAAAGTGAAACGAGACAACTTTTGATCAGTTCAAAATTACACAGCTAACTTACAACGACAATGTCTTTTTTAATCGATTTGTTTGACTACACTCAATTCGACATCGGTTCATCACTACAGCAGTTTTTCACTTGATTGCTCATTCCTCATGCTAGTCTTTGCACAAGTTCATTCCAAATGGTATCTTACAGTATTGAAAGGCATCAAAACCAGTACAATAACCAATGCTGCAGAATTCAAATGTGGATAATAATAATAATAACGGAATAAGCAGTAAGGAGAAACAATCTACGATCAGTTAACGAGTCGATTTATAGTCTGCCATTACCTTATGGATGGCTGTTGCACTATCGCCGTGCCACTGTGCTGTGCTAAAAAATTTTGCATGAATTATCATCATCATGATTCACTACAACATACTGTCATATCACTCCTGTATGGAGCAGTCTACTATTATAGTACTGCACAATATCTTGTAAGTATACTGTAGTACCAAATGATTACAAAACGGTATGATGATGGAAGTATCGCAAACATGGCGCTCGCACTATACATACTATCCATCGAAGCAGTAAAAATTGTAACTAGTGTGGAAATAAGTTATAATAAACATTCATAGAATCTGCCATCAAGATCAAGGATAAGTTCAGTTATAATTCAGTGGATATAAATGATTGCCATGTTTTATTTGTTTGTCATCACATCGATTCAATTTTGTTGTGTCTGCCTATCGACATCGATAGGAAATCTTTTAAGAATCTCTGACTAGATTTATCGTACACTGCATAATGCACTAGTATGGTATACAGTAAAGAATTCCACTATGAGACATGGCAATCTTAAAGTCTCATCTTTAACGATGAAATCTATTCTAACGATGGCAAGAACCCGATGTGATTCATCTAAGCGGTTAACTATCAAGAAACGCCCGGATCATGTCAATTTCATAGACTAGATTTGTAATCGCCCTGAAATGGACCGAATCCGACGTTCAGATACTGTAAATATAAAATACAAGTACGGATAGACTAGGATGCGTTTCCTGTCCTCGTTAAGAAGAAATAAATACTAACTGCTTTGATCTAATGAATTATTTCGCCGTATTTGGCAGTTTGGTAAACATAATTACTGATATCCTGTGCAGTGTACAGCAGCAGGCAATTGAGGCGATTCTTCTCAGCAATTTACTACCCTAGCAGTCATCGAAAGATTCTATCGTGCCTGTAATGTGTTATTGCAGAATGTTGTCTTGTATTCAGATTGAAAACTTCATCTCACGACAAGAAACAGCTGAAATAATTAATAAACAGCTGCAATTGTAAATCGAAAGTCATCATTTTTCCTCATATTTCAAGAATCAACATTCTCTGCCTCTGATCTATCATCATTAATGTAGTAAACTGAAAAATAGCACTGGAGGCCAAACGTATATGTCATAATACACTCTGCACTCTGGTGTACTGCAGTATGGACGTAAGGACGCAGGTACAGGTGCTAGCAAGCAAGCAACCTTGATCAGCTAGCTGTTGCAGCCTACCTATCAACATATGCAAAGCCAGCCAGCCAGCACAGTTAATGTTTTCAAACTACTCTAGAATTGCAAACACAACTTGGTAGTGTAGTTTACAACATTACGTTGAATTCATACTATACGAATATATCATTATAATTATCGTTCATAGAATAATAAATAATCATCCATAAAAATCTCGCAGTATAAACCAAAGCAAGTAATGGCATCAGCAGCTCAAGTCAAATCGGCTGGTCATCCAAGATGCCTTTTAATCGGTGGTGGCATTACAGCATCTTTAATTTCATACTTCCTACATAAAATTTGCCCATCAATGCCTATTGAAGTATGGGAAAAGGATGCAACGGTTGGAGGCAGAATGATGACCTTTCGTAGTGAAAGCACTCAGTGCACTGCGGATGTTGGAGCTCAATATATTACAACCGTTCCTACCGAGCATAACTCGTCTCAAAAGTTGTAAGACAAACGTTGATTGAATATAGACCTCTAGCTAATGCTATAGTACTCGACTGCTCTTATTTCACGATACCTTGCTTTAGACTATATAAAAAGACAACATGAATAGGTGGAATAGAATAAATAACAATTTACTTCACCTCGTTCAAAAGTAGTGCTGCAGTCCTAAAATACTGTATAAAATTTTCAACGACCATTGTCATCGTAGTGACAATATGCCAACAATAGAACTACTCGTACTCACACATGGCCAATTCGATAAGCGAGCGGCCATTGCATATTTCTCTACAGTAATTTAGCGCTATAATGCCTCTTAAATATGCTCGTACTGATATTTGCTTATGAAAAATGAACGCTGTGTAGCTGGTAAATCTTTCGAAGAATTGTTACTATACACACTATTGTAGTGTCAGAGCAGTGGTAAATTTATTCAATCCACTAATTATATCAAAAATTATTCTAACTAACAAAATTCGTACAAGTTTCAAGACATACTAACAACGTGACACGCTTAATATCGCAGTAATATGATTTGATTTAAAGCAAAGCATGAAGAAATCACCTTATCATTTACAAGCTCTGTTATAACGGTAGATAGTACATGTAGATACTGTACAATTAAAACCGCTCGTGTAATCATATTCAAATACGATTAAAAATAATTATCATCAGTTTACGTGTATAACATTTACTGGTAGCTTTATCACAATTTTGAACTTAGCTCCTGATCTACTTTATGATGATTTAGGCAAAATATCAATATCACTCAATATAAAATTTAAAAAATTTTTTCTAACCTTTCAAATCTGCCAGAATCTATTCTGCTTTAATCGACGCAGGGATTTTAATTCCATTGACGAAGACCATCGTAGGTGACCGTAAACAACACAATGCTATCAATTATGTTGCTGCAAAAGGAATGTCGAGCATTGTAGAGCATTTTCTTACAAATTCAGGTCTAATTTCAACCGTAGATTACGACTTGTATTCGGTAATTATAATCGATATTCACAACATTATTTCTGATTACACAGGAACAAAAACCTTTTGTAATCGCCATGTTAAACGAGTACGACCAGCCTCTCATACCATTGAAGTGCACTATAATGAAGGAATTAGTGACAACTTTGAAATTGTTGTATTTACGATACCACTTCCCGAAGTATATAAAATATATGAAAAGGTGACTTAGAATACAGTCTATCAATTTATCAAAATTTTGCAAGCTATACACGAAGTGCCATTTCATAATCGCATAGTAACGTAATTTACTCGTATGAATCATGGCAATTGGCAATTTTGCTTTCCATCTTAATAGCATTACTCACTTTTCTTGGAAAATATTGCAGGCTGAAACATTACTCCAAAATAAAATAGAATATTCAAGCAGATATGCTCTAGCAGCGTTTTATAAAAACCAAAACTTAAACGATCAATTTAACTGGTGCGCAAAGTATATTAACACCAACCCATGTATAAGATTTATATGCCTGGACACGAAGAAAAGAGAATCTACAGGTAATTACATCATTTTAACGACTCAAGCAGTTTAATATACTCTTATTACGAGTAGGTACCCTTAAATGTTAAATAAGATTATCTGATTCATTTACGTTGTATGAGTATGAACTAGCACAGAGCATATACGTATAAGTAGATTTGGTTGCATAAGATATGCCAGTGATACGATATTGGATAATGTATAATATAAAGCAGTTCTTGGAATGTATCACTGTTAATATCTTGGGTTACATGGGCTATCTCAAATCGATATTCGCACATAATTCTGTCAATACCCAGTTGTGAATCTATGAAGACATGACAGAATACCACGGCTATCGAATATTCAATACTGAACCATATTATTATAGACATACTACAGTTTTTGCTGAAGCTAATTTTTCATATTAAAAACTACAGCATTTTACGATAGAATTTAAAATTTTTCCTAAACTTGATGTGCTAATGAATTGTACAATTATTTTTCGTGTACCTTATGTAGAAAATTGCAAAATGCATAGCTTTTATTTGTAGTGCACTGTAACAGTTTTAGAGCCAATAGGGTGCGATAAATATGTATAATTAATCCATGTACAATTAGTGAAAAAAAATGTATAGATAAGCTTTCTATATGTAGTATATAGCACATCGAATATGTAATACGAGTATATAACGGCAATCGATGAAAAGTCGATGACAATATGCGAATGAAGCCATTTTATCGCTCTGCTGTACTTCGGCTACAGCTTGTATTAAGAGCTGTAAAATTTCAAGTTATCAACAATCAGCTGCATTCTCTTTTATTGTAGTGTCTGGTACCTCCATTGTAGTTCATACCAGTGTCAGCTTTAGTAAAATGAACCAAAGCACCGATCCTACTGCAGTAAAAGACAAAATACTGACAAATCTCAATGGCCTAATGCCTGGTTTGCCGCCTGCAGATGATTCGACACTAGTAAACTGGGAATATTCACAAGTAATACAAGCGTATGACTGCAATGGAGCTTTCATTCTTAATGAATTTCCTTTACTAATTGCTGGCGGTGACTCATTTGCAATGTCTAAATTTGATGGATGCTTAAACTCTGCTTCAGTTTTATCAAAGATCATTTCAGATTCTGTGCAATCTGTTAGTGCAAATATCTAATTAGCTGTACTGTTAGCTTAAAATTTTTATTTTACATGCTACAGTATTCATTTTATTAACTGTAAATGTAGTCTTTCACTAGAACAACTCGAATTTTACTCCCAACTCTAAAGATATTGGCCCTCGTTAAAAAATAACTCGGTAGTACTCAATGATAATTAAACAGTAATGAATAAGACGTTCATAAAATAAAAGCCAATCGTATACGTAGATAAGACATATTTCACATCTAAGAATTTTATTATATTAATAATTAATAATAAGAGAATCAATGGCTACAAGATAATGAAATAATTTTGTAAAGTACCGCAAACCTAATTAAAACAGTACTAAATATCGAACTAAAAATTAAGTAATTACGAACGTTAACTAATTAAGCACTACAAGATATCTGTATCATTAATGGTACAGTATATGTTAGAAATAATTTTAATCTCGAGCATACAGTAACCAATAAACCAGACATAAAAATGTTGTTAATAATTATAATGTACATAATTAAAAGTTTGTAACCCATGAATACGATTTAAAAATGAGCAACATGCAAATAAGGCACGCACCGTATAAAATTAAGGGAATACGTTTCAACATATAACGTGTACTCCTTTACATGATATTAACGTGCGAAAGTGATTTTCAAATTAATAAGAAAAGGGAATTATAAGTAATTGCTATAATTAATCAGCAGGTAAACAGAACCAAGGATTATGGCGGGACTTTTGTCTGTCACCGTACTAATCATAATAACAGTAATATAATAATGACCAATCCTGAAATCAAACCTACCATACATTGTGCTATTAGTGAATATTTACTTAGTCAAGCTTTCTCTTTCTACGTCGAGATTCAGAGTTGATTACAGTCATATCCTGTACAACTTGAGAAATAATTCTCCTCTTTGATAGCAGATTGCAAATAGTTAACAAAGCTAAAGCCGCTGTTATAATTACTATCACCAAAGGTAATCAAATACTTGCAATATTTGCAGTAATTTGATATCAAGAAACCCTTGTTATCAATTAGTTATGCCAATAAATGACTACTGAATATAGTAAATGTCATCGTCATAGAATAAGTACAAATTTTTTTAAGTTTATCCAAAAATTTTCTGTTCACATTTTAGAAAATAAGGCCAACCAGGATTTCTAATCTAAAATTAACAATTAAGTATGAAGCTATTATACACCAACGCATAGAAATGATGACTACAGTATGAAATTTGCTTAATTAACAGTACTTACAGACTGGTTCTACGAAATTTCCTGGAAATGTCCCATAAAGACCTGTTCTTGTTGATGAACCAACAAACCAACCATCGTCGCACTTTTCTTTCACAATAATAATATCACCTACCATTAATTCTAGTTCATCTTCCTTTTCTGGTGCATAAGGATAAAATGCTCGATACCTATGAATGAGCAATTTATCGAGATAAGAATACTATAACAAGTTAAAAATACTTCTGGAAATACTACAGTAATTACCTCTCTGATGTTTCGGTATTAGCTTGAGAATAATTGGAGTTATCCGCAGCTCCATCATTGTAATAATTAGTATTATTATTGTGATCGAATTCGTTATTTTTTGCTCGTATACCAGATTGACTATGATTGTCACTGTAATCGGTTTCCGACTGATATCGTTGGCTTCTGCGATTATAGTCACCGTAATTATTACTATTTCGATTGTCTATTCCACCACCCTGTCGCTGTTGCGGCTTACTTTCGTACGGATCGCCGCCTGCTTCATAACGAGTACTGGTATCGCGTCCACCTGCAGATCTTGTGTCAAAATCGCGTCCACCTGCAGATCTTGTATCAAAATCGCGTCCACCTGCAGATCTTGTATCAAAATCTTGCTTATTGTAATAACTATTTCGGCCTGATTTTCCATCTTGACTGTAGGGATCATTTTCTTGAGATTGATAATTGTAATCACCACTTTGATACTGCGGTTTACTATCGTAATAGCCGTAACGATCATCTACTTGTTGGTTGTTATCATCAAATTCACGAGATTGACCGTAAGCTTTTGGGTTATATTGATTAGAATCAGATCCTATAACATGCTTATTTGGCCGAGAACTAGCTTCTGAAAAATCTTGAATCTTATTATTACGAGCTTGCTTCATCGTTCCTGCACCCTTTACATCTTTAAGAACATTTAAAAATTTCTTAGGCACTAATCCAGATCTTGAATTGAGACGTCCTTCAAACCAATTCGCATCTACGTGCTTCAAAAGTGTTATAATTTGTCCTTTCGAAAATGATAATTCTTTGCTCGTTATACCGTTGCAATCACGCCTTGCTTGCCCTAAACCATCTTGCGAATACTCACACTGCGCTGCTAATGCTTCTTTTATAGATGTCACCACCTACGGTACAAAAAATAATGTTTTTATACATTAATCGATATGATCATCTAATCATAGTACTCTATGTCAATAATGTGTTTATTTTAGTCTAGCTTAAGTCCTTCATAAGTACGGGTTAGTAATTTTTACACACCTCGACATAATTAGCTGGGAAAATGCCTCGTTTTCTGTGTAATTCACCTTCATACCAGTTTTTGTCCACATTTTTAGTAAGAATAATGAGATCTCCTTTTTTCAAGGCAAGTTCCCTAATGAATGCATGACGTACAGTATATTAGCAAAATGTAGAGGTAAATATAAACAATTGTGAATAATTCTATATTAATATTTATAACTACTGTAAATTAACCTTTTTGAAGCAGGTTTAAAACTGTATATTGCTTTACACTTTGGGATGGTTTTATCCTATAAATGAAAGATAAAATTTCTTATAATTCATATCTACACGACAAATGCATTTTTTTGAACACTTAAATATGTCCATATAACTTACGTGGATATTATAATTAGATGGCGGATCAAACATTAATCCTTTTTCATCTATAAACAAATGATATGTATAAAGACAAATTGTTAAGTACCGGTATTTCAATTGTAAGGCATAATGTTGATCTCGCTAAAATATTTAATAACTAACCAATAACATTAAAATTTGCTTTTTCTGGCATTTTAGCGGGATAATCTGTATCATCGTCATATTTACGACTATCCGGCTTCCGTGAATCGCTATCATCACGGTGGAATGGACGACTCTGTTGGTCTCGATAATGCGAATCATGATTATCGTTACGATCGTCATAATATTTATTTCTTCCGTATGGTTCATTATCATCCTCCGGTTGCGCGAGTGAAGGTGTTGATTTCGAATGGCTATTTCCTATTCGAGTATTTTCCTGCCATCCACCTCCTGGCCTGTAATCTTCGTGATCACCATAGCGTGGTTGATATTTTGGATCATACTGTTCATTATACTGATTTTGGTTATAATCATTGCCTAAGCTTTTAACACTGCCAGTACGTGATAAGGACTTTTGGGGTCCAACAGGTTGGATAGGTTGAAAAGAATTTTGATTCCTTTGATTTGGTAATGTATTGTATGATCTTCCTCCAGAGGAGTCATCTGAAATACAATTCAAGCGTTATTACATCAACACCAAAAATTTATAGAAATGTCGAGCCGCGTTGTATTATAGCAAACATGAATATAATTGTAGTACTGGAATACAGGTATAACTGAAAGAAGTTATAGCCTTGCTATAGATGAAAACGGCAGTACCTTCCTTACGATCATTCGATTTCTGCGGCCAAAATCCACCACCCTGGTCATTATCTATTTGCAATTTTACAATACAAACGTGATTAAACAGTACATTAACGAAAAAAGAGATCGTTAAAATGATCAAATATCTTACTTGACCAATCGTCCTCGTAATCCTGATGTGTAGGTCTGTATGAGTCTGGTTTCGCTGGTATCTGCAAAAAAGATAATTTCGATTAACTTATGCTTACAATAGTTACAGACTATTAAATTTCACTCAAGAAGCTAAATTATGTCGCTAATAACGACACTAGGATTCAAAGTGTAATTACTGGTATAATAACTAATTAATATTCAGTTTATAGGATACTAACTACTACTTACTGCACCTATTCGCTAAGGAAATACGTATGTATATATATGGTAGTATTTATACAGTATATACCAGATATGTGTATATAGCAAAGATGTTGGATTGTATTAAAAGTCGTTAAATATATATATATATACATTTCTTGAAGAGAAACCTAGAAGGCAGTCTAATTTTCATACTTTATATATATATACATATACAACTTGCATCTTCAATAAGTTCGGGATAAGAAATGAAGATAGTGATTAATGACCTGGTCATGCTTGTGATAGGGCTTTCATATTTAATGGTTTAATAATTTGTAACTAAAGAAAATTGATATTCCGTTGGTTATCGTCTTAGAATGCCTGTTCAGGACTCTATTATAACGGTACTGAAGGGCGCCTACAACACTAACCCTAACTGGTGGTGGCTCTTCATTAGATGAATTGTTATCAACGCTCTCAAGGGCCTCTAACGAAGTAGCATTTATTTGCTCAACTGGGGAAGTTGGGGATTCCGGGGCAGAATTATTCTTCCTAATCTTTAGTCTAGTTGTTTTTCTATCTTTTTTTGCTACATTCGTCGCTGGCGATTTTATTGCGGTAGAGTTTTTCTTTTTAGGAAAAACTTTCGAACGATCACCGTTATTGTCTGCTGCATTCTTGGGTAAGGAAGTCCTAACGACTACCTTACTCTTGTTTCCACTGCTTTGTGATAAAGGCTTTACTAATTTTTCTTTATTTTTTCCAATTTCATTTTCCTTTCTACTTGAAATGATAGGATTCGATTTAGTCTTATCATAACTGCCAATCTTATTTCGAACATTTAGTTTGGTTGTCTCTCTGGTAGGGGATGTGCTATTGATCTTCGTTGTCTTATTCTTTCTTGAATTTATTACAGGACTTTGATCTGAAGATGATGTTGTTGGAGACTGTAACGCCAAAGAGTTTGGCTTAGTACTTGATCGATCAATATTATCTTTTACAGCACCATCCATAGCTTTATTGATTTTATTAATTTTTTTCCTGTTTTTCGAACGATAAGCTGAATGTACAATTACACCTTCTTCGTCATCTATTAGAAATATTAGATTATTGTTAAATTGACAATAAAGTAGCGCATACTAAATTGCTTTTGATAACGATTATTCAGGGCATAAATCTACACGACTTATTTCGAATAACATACGCACCTTCTCTATTTACAAAGTCTCTTTGTCTATGCAATAAATTTAGAGCCGGAACTTTCAAATTAATCGGTTGTACGTTATCAAAACCACCTCTGCTAAAGTAATCAGGAGAACTGTAATATAAAATAGAAACATGTTTTATTAAACAATATCTAAATAAAATACTATACAAATAATATACAATCTAAGTAAGTCGGCCATTTGACACTATTTCATTAAGTAAAAACATCATTGGACTTCCATAATAAACTATTAAATGATGTATAAATTAAGAGGACAATTTGTAATCAAGCATAATTCGTATATGGAATGATAATAAATACTGACTGTTTTCGTGCGTTAAACGCATACACACTTCTGCTATAACTTTGAGGTCTCATACCTATATACATTACGTAATCCTTCCCTGGTTGGCATTCTTCTATAACGTGGGGGAGGTGGTTTTTCGAATTTTGTAAGGATAGGAGATAGAGGTGCTGCATCAGGTTCTTCTTGTGGCTCATGGCCGGGCAAAGGTTGTAATGGGTCATCATACGACGGTATATATAGATTTCGACTATTTGTATTTTTAACTAATTTTCTGGTGGGACTGTTTACATGACCGAACTCTTGAATGAACTGTCTCTTACTAGCTACGGACTTTTTTGCACGTATACGACTGTTTGAACGATTTCTATAATTAGACTGCCTTCTAGAATCATTAATATTAGTATTAGCAGTTTTATGTGTATTATTATCATTAGGTACCCAAGAATTTTTTCCTGGCCACTGGGGATTCTTTCCGTCATTTTGATTGTTATCTGAAGGTCCATAACCGTTGTTGTAATTCCCACCAGTGTTTTGGCCGTAAGTTGCATTGGATGGTTTCTGATAGTTACCTTGATAGTTATTACCGTCATTAGGTTGTTGATAATGATCATAATCATCCTGTGATGCTCTCGATCGCCTATTGTTTCCTATCGTTATACGAGTGCCACCGCCATGATTGCCTGGTACCCCAGAAGGTTGATAATCTTGGCCAGAGTGGCTATCGTAATGTTGAGCTCCACTTCTATAGCTCTGCATGTTTCCGTAACCATCATTTGCGTTACGGTCTTGCCTTAAATAATACAATTGAAAAGAATAGGCAAAAGATGACATCAACCTTATTGTCCTAACAATTTACAACCTACAGTTACCACATATTTATACTTTGCAACAAGAATTTGAAATCCAGCCAATTCCATACCTTTCTAAGACAATTTGTAATCGCATTCCTGCTCGTCTAATCGTAGACAATGCTTCACTGTGAGTCATATTATCGCAATTTGTGCCATTAATCGATTTGACAATATCGCCAACTCGCATATCTTCTGCTTCCGCTTTGCTATTTTCATTTACCTAATCCAAATTCACGGATAAATACAATATGAGTATACCGAATTAAGCAAGTAGACATCATTACCAGTATCTGAACATTTTGTGTCAAAATGCTTGCAATTGCATTAACCGATATTGCTATGCAATAATTTAAAATCAATACTAAAACAATTAAGTAGTATTACTGATCCAATTACGTATCAAGCGCTTTTAAATTATAGCAGTTAATAAATTGATTTTAGTTTTACAGCTAGTGACTTGAATTGATTGCAAGTACTAGTTGAGTTTACGTTTAGCGTTGCAGCCGTAATTTACATCAACTTTGAAAATCACACCATTAATGCTATAAATTAGCTATTGATGGCCAAAGAAAAATTGAAAGACCGATATCCAAACTTGCAGTACTGTACTGACTGTTAGTTTTAATTAAAGCAGACGATTGGATCGCAACATGAGGTTTCTAATTCAAATAATCTTAAATCACTATATAAACAGTATTGGTGTACTTTCATTCGTTCCCTAAAAAAGATAACCTGATTTTTATCGGGCCCTTTCGCTTTTCTACGTAAGATTGAGGTTGTTTTACGCTGGTTAACAAATTTCGTCATCATCGAAAAAAGTATTTGCAGTAACAGTAAGGACAAAATTTTAAAGGTTCTAGAGAGATCGCTGCAGTAAAATTTTTTTACTAATTTTCAAATTTGAAATGACTGCCCAATTTATAACTGTGGAATGCTATCGCAGACTATTTATAGTCAACGCCAGCAAATATCCTAAATATAACCGTCATTTCTAGGGCGTCACTCTGTTACTGCAACAGATGTTCAGTTCCTTTTCATCGCTTTCTAAAAATAATTTTAGTGTCGAGAGTACTGTAGCAATCGACGGACAACATCAAATCAAATCAATGTCACTGGAATGAACGTTTCCATTGTCCACAGTACAGTACAGTGCCTTGCATTACAATACTTAGTAGGGTACGACAGTAATCCACTGTATCTGTTAAAAATAAACGGGGTATAAAAGCAGAAGGGATTGATTCACAATTAGTCCAATTCGTACACCGTATCAATGGGCTTACTACACTCGATCCACAGAATAATCAATTTATCACGTACAGCTATCGTAGTCAATCCATGATCTGTTTACACTACTGCAATGTAATCCATAGAACTCAAAAATACTCTAATACTTTTCGCTTTATCTCGAGCATCCACTGCACTAAATAGCAATTGGTGCCAGTCCAATCATATTATTGTACTGTATATCACGGCAGTTGCAGTCGAAAATTGATCTACCCGTATGTTATACAGTACCGCATTCTAGCAGTGTGATGTACTGTACTTACTGTATAAGTGTGCCTGTTCCACAGTACAGTATCGTACGTACTGTACAGTATTGTACAATTTGACTGCATGGTGAAATTTGTCGCAGAACTGCTACAGTACTGTACTGTTACAGCCAATTAGAGTATTGTACAGTGTACAGTACAGTACAGCACAGCACAGCAAAGTACGGTACAGTGTACTGTACTGTACTGCACGTTGCCTTAAAAAGTTGCTGTATAATTAATGTAACGTTTACTTTTAATTGTAAGTTACCATGCTTGAATCTGTGACCACCCCCATCCCCTGCTAATAGCGTTATTTTCGAATTTTTCTACAGTGCTACAGTACAGTACTACAGTACAGTGCTACAGTACAGTACTACAGTACAGTACTGTAACAAAAAGTGCTAGCAAACGATGCATCAAGCGCAACGCTGCATACGGTACAGTAACCTGTAGTGTACAATGTACAACAGTCTTCTACGCTGAGTCAAGTGATCTCAAGATTTGAAAGTATCAACCAGAAACACATATGAAAGGATAGAATCGGAAATCATTTTATAGTATTAACTTGACTAAAAGCAAACACTGGACTGCGTTCAGTCCCTCGAAATTATACACCGTACACTAGTAAAAATGTCGAGCGCAGTTTCAGTTTTTTTCTCTCCAAAGTAAAGAGACTAACTGAAAATTAAGTTGATTTCATAATTATCGTCGAGCAGTTATGTAAATTAATAAATTAAAATTAAGTAGCGATCACGATTTAAACTCGTTTAGTACTGCCAATCAGATTTTAGCAAGAAAAATGATAGCATGTATAGAAAAGTATACTAGAATATGGTATTTGCGGGCTAACCATTGGCACATGTCCGAATATACGATTGCATGTCAGTATGTGTTCCTTAACAGGGCTACATTTTTCAATATTCCCTGCTGTTAATTTTGTCGCAGTTTTCCACTCAACATTGCCCAAAAGTGAAATACACATAAATAATTTACACACTTTTTTGTAAGTGCAGTAGAATAGGAAAGGTGATTGGGGGACAGTTAAAAAAAAAGAAGGAAAACCTACAGGATAAGTACCGTCTAGAATACTAGCGTATATACGTCAAAAATTTGCTCTGAGAAAAAGCGTCCTGTAATAATATTGACATCACTACAAGAATTTGTATGCGAACAGAAGTACTGTTATGCGAGAGACATTTTTTTTCGTACAATACAATACAGTACTGTACCGCTAAGTAGTCAATCGTTATGACTCATCGTGCGCGTCTGCGGAATTTGCCTTATTAAATTAAAAATTAAATTAAAGCAAAGACGAAACATGGTAAACTAGCCATTTCCTTAAGTACGCCATTTACTAAGTACCTACTGTACTATTGTCAATGCTCGCCTTTAAAGCAAACCAACTTTCTAGTATCGAACGAACCAATATCCAGTGGACTATACAAGCATGTGTACAAGTGCCCTAAATTTATTTCTCTATGGTCATGATAACATAATTGCAGCTTGACATATTCCTATCTAGCATTTGGTTGTTAATCCAAATTCATATCGTAAGTTAAAGCGATAAAAAAATTTACTGGGGAATGGCTAGTAAATGTCTGTAAAAAATGCAGCGAAAATAAACAGACTACATTGTCACGCTAACGGAGTTAACGGTCTCGTACACAATGATAACAATTAATTATACTGTATTACTGTACAGTACTGAACTGTATTGAGCCGTACAGTACAGTACAGTGTATTATCGTCGTGCATAGTGTACACTGTACAGTAGTAGAGCGTTGAATGTCTTGATTCTTCCGTGGCGTTACGCCCGCTAACGTTTACTTGTGAGTTTAGTTTGTAATTTTTTTGAAGGCTTTCCGCAACTATAGAATAAGTCAGCGTCCACTCATAAAACTACATTATTGCTATATACAATGTCATTTTTTGAAGCTATTACATGTATTCTACAATATAGAGTAATCGTAAATACGGCTTAAGCAAATTGGATTGACAACAATATCAAAAGTGAAAAAAAAACGAATAACGTGTGTTGCGTTGACTGGCGTCGTCCGTAGAAAACGATCAACTCGAATTGATAAAAAAAAGCTCACCTTGGTTACTGATAATGGAGCACGGTACTCGCGGCCACCCTGTAAACGAAATCCCCATGGTGGCCCACCTTGCAAACCCACGGAGAAAGAGTTTCCAGAGTCCATGACAGTGGAAAGGGTTGACTATTACCAAAGCCTATGGGATTCAAACAGAGAAGGCCACGCTTTAAAATGTTTCTCAGGTCGTCGTTGCTCTCGCTGATAAACGCAATGTAAAAGTGTAAATTGATACGGTACTGATATTTAAAATGTAGACGGATTTACTGTTGACTATCAACTAACACTTACAGTATTGCCATACAATACAACCAGTATGCTGTGGCATCCTGACGCAACTGGCGTACTGTACACTGTAGAACAAGTACAGTACAAAGTTTATTCCTTGTGGAACGCTTAGTACTGTACAAGGCTTGTCAATTCGTTATGGGCGGGAGATTCCCTACGGTACTCTGTACTGTAGGGAGGAGGAGTACTTTACAGTACTGTACAGTGTACAGTACAGTATACTGTGAAAAGAATCCCAAAATACCAGTCTAAAAAGTCAGCCGACCACACCCTAGTCGAACGACTGTACTTTAACACTGAGTACAGTACAGTATTGCAGTCAGCGAAACAACCTACCTACTGTACTGTACTATACTACTGTGAGTCGATGACAGAGACATCCAAAAATCTTGATATAGACAGTGTCGAAGCGATCAATTGGGGATCAATGGTGATCCCAACAATATAGTGCTTATAGTAATTTAGTAATTAATTAATAGTGAGTTTGAATATTTTATCAGGCACGCACATAAAAGTTATTTGCTCTTGCCGACTGATGAAAATCATTCATTTATCAGTTCTGATACGCCTTTTTAGGGGGTTATCATAGTAGTATACAATCTCAATTTTTCAATATTTGTGGCTGCGATTAGTCATTCAGTGACATGAGTCACCATACTATTTTTTACATCATTGACAGGACTTCATTGTTACCTTGTATGGTTTTCCTCAACAACTCTAAGTAAAATCTTTGTAACTTACAACAGTATAGTACTGTAAACTTTGTTCCGTGTAGTATCCACTAGTAAGAACGATCAAGTTGCTCATCAGTGGAGTGTAGTGAAATAAATAAAGCATTCAACTATCAATAGTGATTGAGCAATTCATTAAATATTCATCATTTAGCCTTATTTACCATAGCGGTAAGAAACCTCTATTACTCACAGCTGCTATTTTGTTTGTCAATCGATTCGTCACTCATCTTTCCTTACTCCTAATACAGTCATCCTTACACTACTACGGTAACAAACTACACTTCGGTAAATCAATACTCAGCGTTTAACCATCCATCTTATATATGCAATGGGCTTCAATGTGCTCCTTGATACCTTGACATTGTGATAACAAAATCAATGATAAAATTATTTATACATCTTACTAGCAATAGCATGCTATAGGGTATTAATCAATGCCATCATTCATAATATACGATACTACTAATCCTTGCCATTTTAGAAATGCTCGATCATACCTTATCAACCCATTATGATAGTAAATAGTAGTACAAAAATAGAGTACAGTTGGTACACGCAAAGTAGAACGAGCGATGGATCGACTAGTTTATTTATATTTATAATTGGAGAAAGACTCAATTAGATGTTACGATTGATTATTGCACTTTAGTCGCAGAATTATCACAATAATCTACTGTTCAATCCTGATCAATCTAAAATAGGAGCTAAAGCGAACATTTTCAGGCATAGTAATAGACACTTGCCATTAAAATCATTCAAATGAACGTGATTATTTGCCGCATTTAACGACGATCACAGTACTGTATACTGTATCATACGATATAAACTTGTCGAATGTAAGACTAACCCATAGATGGTACATCATTGACCTTTCAATGACTATTTCTAACCACAAAATGACTCACTTTATTCTTTCCCCGTGCTGTATTTTATTGTAGTACGATAGCACTTGCACGTACACGAATACTATCTGTCATATATCTAGATCTTAGACTTGGTTAATGTTAGTATATCGATACCGTATCCTTGCTTAAACTGAATCCTCTTTTTAGTATTTTTTGCTACTGTAAAAAACTGGACAATAGCATACCAAGGGGTAACCTTACTGATTTTATAAAATTGTATCATCGATGATAAACACGGCTTAATAGACATTGTTA